TTCTCACTGTGTAGCAACTGTGGCAGAAGACCATTACAGGTGGAAACCCAGAATATTCGGTTACAATATAAAAGCCACCGGTGCAGGACACAGCACAAATCACTCTTAGAAACTCACCAAACCTCAGCCAAAGCCATCTAAAAAGGATATCCAGTTTTCCTTTCCACAAAAATGGAGCACAGATAAGCACACATTGAAGGGGCAACTCAATGAACTTTTACTTCAGTTTCAATGAATGCAACCACAACCAACAAAAACAGATCACAATGTCATCATCCTCTGTAACTGTGCTTTCTTCTGATCCTTAATGAGAGCATATTATTGATTTTAGCGAGAGAGCTGCTCTCTCACCTCCTCTTGTTCCCATGATTGGGGGTTTATTAAAAAGGAGAGGTCTGTTTAAAACAGGTGCGATGGCTGAAACCCCACAAACACATTCAACCCTAGTCTTTAATAACATCTACCATATAACTAGGGAAATAATGATACAGAAATTTTAATGATACAACAAGTATTGTGCTTTTTGTAGAGCTGGCACTGATACAATACAAGGTACCAGCAGAAAAATTGAGATCAGATATCAGAGGGAAAAAGAATAAGAGACTCTGAAATACTGTAACAGATCTATCCTCACACTTACATTGTCTTGCCATGTAGTTAGCTGTGTATTTCTTTCTGTGGAGAAGTGGAGTGTTTGAAGTTTATAGTTTAAGCAAGATACTCGGTAGTATCCACAGCAGTTTCTAAAGAAGAAGACTCAGATCAGAACATGTTATGGTCAGTACTCAAGGTTTCAATATTGCTATCAGTATTACAAAAGAAAAAGTGGTATTGTACTAGCTCTAGACTTTGCACCACAATATGATATACTTTCAACACCCAAGTCAAGAAGAGCATTTCTACATTAAGGCCAACAAGGTCAACAATATTAACACAAACAAGCAATTTTCTTAGACGACACATACATTTAAATACACACAAGCACAAATAGTTTGAGTGGCAGGGAGTATTTTTGTCTCATATAGAAATAGAAATATAGAAATATCACAGCATGAAAACTACGCATTTTATGTCAGTTTGTCTAAAAAAAGTATCAGATAAAGTTTACAGCATAAAAAGAAACTCGATTTAATTCACAGAACATATTGTCTCCCAATTCCTGTTTTAAAAAAGAATATTAATGTGTATCATAACAGCCCCATTTATAACACTGGTCTGAATGAAATCTCACACTGTTGGTTCAGCACAGCGTGATGGTTAGCCTCAGTTGGTGAAAGTGGTTGTAAAAGTTTGTGTTGATGAAGTGACATTTAATTCTAATTAGAAAAATTCTTGTGCACATCAAAACCAAATTAGTGGAATATTCCCCTGTGTTTGTGTGTAAGTCAGGTGTAGTTAATGGGCTAAAGGATGGGAAAAGCACATGGCTTTAACCTTGGGAAAATGTGCTCAGCTGTGGTAGTGCAGGAACAAAGAGATGAATGGGTGTGCTTTGATGAACTGTAAAGACATTTGCTGGGGCCAGCGCACCAAAGTGAATTATATTAATGACAAAGAACAAGTCTTTCAATATAAGGGGCAAATGATGGCTAATAGATTTTTCTCACTATCATGTTGACCCAGGTTCACCCTGGTCTGGCTAGTTTCTGTTCCCTAGTACAGTTCACTCTTCTATCAGACAGTTATTCCATTCAGGCAACTGCTGGAGAGATATACTACATTTTAAGTGATGTTATGTTAGGTTTTCAAAGACACGCACAATCCTTAAATTCTTGAAGTAGCTTTTCAGCAACATGAAAAGACAACCAATAGCAGAACAACAGCACAATAGCGTATGAACCATGAAAGACATTTCAACACAAGAGAGGGATACAGTGTACATACAAGCAGAGGGCAACAGTACAAAGAATAAAAGTAGAATCTTACATAAGCACACATTAGGCAAGTTGCCAAGTGTACAGTATCCAGCATAATATACAGCAATGCACTGAAAATCACGAAGGCTGCTCATAATTTATATCATAACTTTTTTAAGGCTTTCTCATCAAATCAATACTGCAATCCTTTCTTATTAGTACTTTCTGCATGCCAAGCTTTGTAAGCACATATGTCAGTAGGCATTCCCACTGTGAAGCTGTCTAAATAGAACTTCTTCTTGAACAAATTCTTAGTTTATGTTTTCAAAATAACTAACAATCAAAAATTTTGATGGCACATTATGTAGTCATTGTATTTAAAAAATAAAAATTACAAAGTAATTACTATGGCTAAAAGGCTCAAATTCAAACTATGTATTAGATATACAAATTACATATATGCTGAACTTGTGACGCCTTTAGGAAATGAGCCACAGAGCACAAGACTTTTTTCTTTTATTTTTTTATTTTTCCTACTGTGCCAATGAAAACAAAGCATGTATTTTAAATTATTTTTACTTTAAATTGTTATTTTATTTTTAAAAAATACTATTTTAAATCAGTTTCTCAGCACACACTTGTACAAATACATCATGCTTACCACTGCATATACTTACTTTGTCTTTTATGGGGTGTTTTACACAACAGTCTTAAATGAAAAAGGGTGCTTAATGTAAATGTAATGTATAAATGTATAAGTTTCAGTTCTATCATTTTATTTAGGCTACTCTTTTATCTGGGCCACTAAAAAACAGATAAGCAAATTTTTATGGCCTCCACAAAATCACATCACCTACTATTTAGTCCTATTTAGCTAATATCTGACTAACCTGAGACTAAACCCACTTCCAATAAAGATATACAAATTCACAGTAAATCAAATACTGCTAAAAGAGGCTCTGAATCACAGATATGCAAGAGAAAAATAGGAGTATCAGTTGCTCTTTGGCTTTTTATTGGTTTCTCATACTACGTGCATCATCCAGACTAATCCAAGTAGCTGCATCAAAGTCTTACAAGATGAATCTTTAACATGATGAACGATTCTTAGCAATGCTATTAAAATGAAACCATGACAAGAATTAATCTTTTTCAAGAATATTTCAGTACTTTGCTTAAGTCATCAAGCATAAAACACTCCAAATGCAATTTCAGGTTTGACACCAAACAGCTGATTTGACTTCAATCCACATACAATCACTCTAATTTTGTAATACTGTTACTTCTGTACTATGAAATCAGTATTTCTTTGTTGATTGGCTGCTTAAATGTGTGGTAAAAGTGGGATGTTCTTAGAGTTTCTATCTGGTGTGGGATACTGTGCTCTGTGCAGATGTAACAACTTAACCCCTGTGACCTCAGCTGTGCCGTCTGCACAAATAAAACAACAACATCCTGCCTTGCAACCCCTCTCAGCGCCCCAATCGTACCATCCGAGCGACCGATCCCCTCCCTCCCTCCCAGCAGTATGAAGAAAACTCTTAAAGGAAGAAAATCAAAACTCTTTCTTCTAGAAGAAAAGCAGAAAAAGAATGCTTTCTTTCACGTCACAACAAAAGCTGCTGTACTGAATGCACTCTTGCGGCTTTTATTTGTAGAAAATATATATGTATGTATATATATATATACATATATCCAGGTGGAATTAGATTGCAAATGATAATTCAACCCTATAAGAGTAAACTGAACACTGGGGATTTTGCTGTATGTGGACTAGATAAGTATGGGAATGCAAATGAAGCATCGTCACACACATCTCCGTAATATAATTTGAGAGCTCTAGATGCTTGCACATTTTAAATGCTTTAATACAGACAAGACTGTAAGGTTATAAAAAGCTACAGAATGGAACACAATGTTTAAGATGGTTAAGGTTAGACAATGATGATTTGATGCGTTATTATAAATGCATCCCTTTAAAACGCCTTACATATTTACTAATATAAAAAAAATGTAAAATCATGTACATAGATCCTTCAAAAGTGTCAACATTATTTGAGAGGTCACATGGAAATGTAAAACAATTCCTCCCACAAACATAAGTAATATTTTTGCATTTGGACTCTCCGTTCTATGATTTATCTTTGATGAGTCTAGAAAAAGCAGACTGCACTCTCTGTCACAGCCGCCGGCTGTTGGAGTGAGGCAATCCAGCATGTGCAATTATTATTATGAAGGCCAAACTCTCTCTTTCTCTCTCTTTCTTTATCCCTCTCTCTCTCCCACACACACACACATTCACAAAGGCCAGAAAAGAATCACCGCTAGCACAGGAAGCTTCAACTGGGTATTGTTAGGGTGCAGTGTGAGGGATAAGAAAATCTAATAGAATACAGCATAATATACACATTGCAACATAAACATGAAAAAAATTAACAATTTCTCAGTGCTAATGTAATTAGCAGCGTGAAATAACACAGGAGCTTTCCCCAGACTGGAATTAACACCTACAGTGTTCATTTGTGCGCAGCTGGATTTAAAGCAACACAGTGGCTGTTAATTCCAGTTCAAGAATTGTGCTGTGAATTTGCCAGCCTTAACAAGACTTAACATGGAATAATAAAGATTACTGTGATAGTATATACATCCTAACATAAATCATAAGATTAGTCTGTGCATGAAACAACATAGCAAAACCCCCGGTGCTGAATGAACAGTGTTGAATGGTCTCCTACAGCGTTCATTTGTAATAGTTTAATCAGTGATGTGTTGAAGGTGACTGTGAATGGCCATTTAGGTCACTAAATTGTTTTAGTATTTGTGTGTCAAACCAACTGGACTTGAACCACAAGTCCAGCCACCTTGATGTTCTACTACTAAAGCAATAGGTTTAAATTCAACACTATTCATTCATTCTGCACTCTAATGATTGCTGTGCGCTGCACTTATTCCTGCAAAACTGCAGGTGCAAATTCACTACTGTATGTGTTTGATCTGCTCTGTGGATTTTGTTGTGAACTTTTCTTGCTGGCCTCAATAGGCACTGAGATGAGTGTAAGTGAAAGAATGAATGAATGAATGAATGAATGAATGAATGCGCCTCCTGGGCATCCGTGTAAGTGACTGAAATGAGGTTCCACTCACACGAACGCGTGGTACACAAAGGCCCAGCCTCGCGGCCTCTCCAGCACGTTGTACAGGTAGTTCTGCAGTTTCCTGTAACGCGCGTTCCGGCGACCGCTCTGCGCGCTGTAAGCCAGCGGTTTGCCCAGCAGGCTGAGGCGCGCACCCTGCGCTCTGCTCCTCAGCTCCTCCGCGCCGTCCGCCGGCCGGGCCGACCTGTTCATGGCCCCGCGCGCGGCTTCCACATCCTTCAGGCGCAGGTTCTCCACTCGGCGCCCCGGGGACGCTTTCATCCAGAGGCCGGAGGCGCCGTCGTCTGCGCCGTGCCCGCGGGGCATGGCATCACCACCAGCAGCGGCGGTGGGACACGTGCGTTGGGCGCCGAAAGTGCACGCATATACTACAGAAGTTGCGATGCGATGCAAGCGTTCTCTGATTCTTTATCTACTATTTCTTCAGTCCGGATGTGTCTTTTGTCAAAATGTGTTTGCCTTCAGTCCCAAACTCTTTTATCGTTTTTTCTGCCTTTATTTTTAGATCACAACACTACAGGATCCTCCTGTGCTCCGTTTCACGTGCTGACCCAAGCGCGAGAGGAAATACGCTGGGAGCGGAAAATAAGGAGCAGGCGATGCGCGCGAGCCGCCTCCGAGCCGGAGTTGTGAAGAAGTGACACCATCTCAGGGGTAGAAATCGGGTGAGGGGAAGAAGGAGGAGGAGAAGGGGAGAGAGGGAGGGGGGCATCATCACCCCACATTAACGCAAGTCTATCTTTCCCTCCCTCTGTCCGCGAACATGAAGGAGAAAAAACACGGGAGAAACAGAGACAGAGAGAGAGAGAGAGAGAGAGAGAGCTGACGGAAAGCTGTTGCTTCTCTGCGCTGCAGCTGCTGCTCCTGACCAGCGCGAGACGGAACGGAGCGGAGCGCGCGCCAACCGAGTCCAGCCCGTCGGGAACACACACGGTGACCCTCCGTCAACAGCTTTTGATGATTTACAAGAGAAACCGATTAAGTTCACAGAGGTTCACCGATACTTAAAAACAGTAAAGTCACAGCGCGAAGTGCCTGGACATCATGAATCCGCTCCTTCAGAGGATGCCCATTTATGTCAGCTTCACAGGAGAGAAAGAGTGAAAGTGAGAGAGAGAGCGACAGAGCGGAGAACTGAGAGCTCACTCTCCCACTCCCTCCATTTAAGTTACTGACCTGATTAAACGTCTGGGAGCAGCTAGTCGACGAACTTTAAGTCGAGAACAGAGCGACACAGACGAGGGAAAAGTAGCTAAAGTGTGTCTTCTCACTGACACTCAGCCCAGCCGGCTGTCACAGCAGCGAGCTACTCCGTCACGATAACACTCCCCATAAGAAACAACGCAAGGCGACCGCTCGCCTCAGATCCATCTTCACGTCAGTTAAGGACTAACTCGTTACTCACAGTAGAAGCAGCACAGTTTTCTCACAGTGGGTGGGCTACTTTCTCGACAAGCACACATTAGCGACACTCGTCCGCAGTCAGAGGAAAGCAGCGGCACACATGTCTCTAACATTTGTTGTCTCTTAATAAAGTGCTGTTAAGTTGTGTTAATGAGGCTCCAGCTCCGCCATAACCCGCCTGCTCTCCCGCTGCTGCTCATTCCGCGAGCTCGCGCTCAAACCACGTGATGCCGAGAGACAGAAACAGACACAGGAGAGAGTGAGAGAGAGAGAGAGAGAGAGAGAGAGAGAGAGAGAGAGAGAGAGGGCGCAAACACTGGACTTAATTCATTTACACCGAATGTATTATATTCCCACAACGCCAAAACTGTAAGTTAGCTGTTCAGTTCAGTAGTTACACTGGAATATTAACGTGGTATATAGTTAAATGCATGACATTTAGTAGTTTAAAAAAGTTAAAATGCATTAAAAATTAAGAAATGAATGAAAAAGGAAAACAAGGCTGGTGGCCTATAAAAGAAACGCTACGCTCTAAATAGTGATGTGTTAAATAACAACACATTAACTTGTGTTACCCATTTTAACACTTTTGACTATTGTTTTCTGATTTAACACTTTCTGTATTAAAAGTAACCCAAAATGTGTTCTCCATAACTGGATGTAGAAATATTTCAACACATTTTGTGTTAAAAGTAATACAAAATGTGTTGTCTCCAACTGAACACTCTGATGTGTCTAGTTACAGACAGAATGTGTTGTTTTTTAACACACCTGTTTTAAGAGTGTAGATGCAGCTGTTCTAGCTGCAGTACTTCAGGACAATGTCACACCAACAATTTTTATAAAATATGAGCATACAAAATAATTCACAATCACATTGCCATGGGCTACAAAAGCCACTTATTTAAAGTTGTTACTTATTTGAAGTTGATGGCTCAAGTGGAAGGGAATTATTAATAATTAACTGATTATTTTGAAAACATATGATCATACATATGTTATACATAACAAAATAACAGTGGACACAGGCTCTGCTTTTGAAATGACTAAATCTCATTAACCGTGATCTTCACGTTTCGCGTAAAGGTCCATGTTCAATCAGTTTAATGTCTACTAAGGCACTTTGGAATCAACAAAATTAAGAGGAGACATCAAATGGATTTTAAAAGAGGCTGAATGTAGTTGGTACCAGAATTACCGTTGCCCAAACAGAGGGAGATAAACAACATATTAAATCATGGTTTTCGCCAAATAATTAAAAAAAGGTGTTCAATGGAACAAGGGTCAGAAATCAAACCTTTGTTTGGGATAAATTTGCATTTATTAACATCACATGGCGTTTAACAGGAGAGGTGCTAAAAACACCAACAACCACCTAAAATATGACCACCAAATTGAATCTATTCCTTTATGAACCCGTTACAGTGAAAGCAGTTTTAGGCACCCTTTCCCAAAGTGCTCAGTAGTTTTTAATGACTTGTTCAGGTTGTATTGTGTCATTTTACACTCTCATGAAAACTGGTGATAAAAATTTCTCACCAAATTTAAACTGTTCTGTCTGTTTGTCCAGTTGTGGACAGCATTTTGAAGTCTTAAAAGATCATAGTTAGACGTTTAAATAAAGGTGGATCTGCTTTTGGAAATGATGCTTGTTTCCTCTGTCTTAACAAAGGATAAAGAATGTTATTTGAAAATTATGACTGATAAATATGCCCACCTTTCAGCATCTAAAATGAACCAAATATAACCCAAAAACACAGAAAAATAAATAAATAAAAACGTGTAAAAAATCTTTCCTTCTTTTTCCATTCTTAATGTTGTAAGAGTACGTACAGATTAAGAGACTGCTTGTTTTGATGTGCTTGTCCTACAGATGCTCATTTTGAAGTTCCTACCGTCGTATAGAACAGCATAAAGGCTACCTTAATATAGACTCAGTATAGACTTATCAAACAAGACAGCCCTGCGCAGAAAGTGTTTGAGGTTTGTTCACTTTCTTCAAACTTCCTGTTAAAGTTAATTATTCTCTTTCCAGAACTAAGAACTCCATTTAGATTTGCATGGTTTGCTAATTTCTTAATACAGTTAATTACATCCTTTAGACTACACCACACTTTCATCTCTCAGACTTGTGAAGCTCCCACTTTGGTGAAAACTGCAAGTGAGCAAACGAAACACATCTACCTACGGCACATCTACAAGCAAATATGCTCTCTGACTTTCAGCATGCACTGAAGACAACCATGAGATCAGAGAGACACACTGCTCCAACGTTTTGAATTAGTTTAGTGTTCTTCAAAAGGCATAAAAAATCTGATGTCATGACTGTGTTTCCAGGTAAGCCTTGGAGTGCTGTACAGAGCCTCATCAAGAGAACAAGGAGAATCATTCAAGATGACTAGAACTGCAGACTGTCACTGTGTTCAAGGACTGAAAGTTGTGCACACAGCTAACAGGAACACACACTCTAGTGGCATGAGTTTGTCATTACAGCACTGGAATGCATGATCTCTGATTGAATGTGAAAGGTGCTTCTGCTGCTGCTGTTTTGCAAATGCTGGTGGCTTCCCTGGTGGCAATTACGCTTTTGTCATCAACAGCTATGTTGTATTAAATGCGTGTTTTGGGGCAAACATATGGAGCACCTTTTAATTCTTAAAAATAGGGTTGTAAGAAGGGGTTCTCTGAAGCAATGCTATACAACAGTGGCCAATAACCCTGTTCTTGGAGATCTACCTTCCTAAGCAGTCTAGTTCCAACCAAAATCTGCCATGCCTGCTCCACCTAATTCATTTCTTTGGAAGATCTTGATTGGCTGCATCAACTGTATTCGTGTTAGCTAAGCTCTTAGCAAAAAAGTTTTAGGTGCTATATCGAACCATATATAATCAAACAGGAGAACAATTTAACCATGCAAAGAACCATTACACTGTAAAAAATGGTAATTTCTCAACAAACCCTTGATGAACCATTCTTAGGTGCGTAAGAGGAGGCAGCATGCTACATGCAGGTTGGAACTGAACTCTGCTAAAGTAGCTCTCCAGCAGTAGGGTTGGTGACCACTGCTATAGAAGAACCACTTTCAGTTGAGTTGAAAGGTTCTTTGTCGAATGAAATGCGGTTCTTCTATGGTATCACCCCAAAGAACCCTTTTTAGCACCTTCATCTTAAGACTGTGAAAGACAGAGGTAGGTAGGTAAGACAGAGTAGGTCATACAGGTATATTCAGCCTCCTGAGATACAAGGTGTGCTGATTTATAGTACTGTAAAAAGATAAGTCCAAAGCAAAAGCCAGCAGAAGCTCCAGCTCAGGCTGAGCTCCATCAGAGCAGCACTCACGAGAGACAACAGACTCTGTGCGTCAGAGAAGGAGAGTTTAGTTTAGCCTCTAAATGTTTGGGCCTCATCCTCAGAATCCATCAACCTGAAACACATTTGTGCAGAATGTGCGTATGGCATGGTGCTGAGGGATGGTGAGAGCCCAGACGAGTTCTCCAATAACCCCAGTCATAAAAATACTGTGAGGATTATATGGCCATCGGGATCAAGGCAGAGAAGAATGAGTAACGAGTCTTAAAATATTAGCAATAGATTCATTTGAGGAATGGAGCTCTGGAGCTGTGGTATGCTTTTTTACATATTTGCACGACTCGACATAAATCACCCCCTCTTTAAAAATGTTAGAAATCTTTTCACGGCCCTGCTTTCATTTCCCAAGCAGCCTGAAACCAGACAGGAGCGCACAGCGCTGTCCCAGCATGCTCTACACCTGGGGTTTGGGTTCATTCAGCATCACTGCACCACTAGATCTGTTTACAACACATACGTGTTCTGTTGTACTGACCACAAAAATCGATACAGAAGCAAAAACAAGCTTTACAGAAACGTAACGCTCAACAACACAAACATCAGGATAGGTGTTCAGTATCATAGGTTTAAAATAAAAATATTTCACAGATTTTTTTTCTAAAAGTAGTATGAGCTTCTGTGCAGAAGAGCACTTTACAGTTGTAACATTAAGTTTAAGTCAAGTTTCTACATGGAAGAGTCGGGAGTTTAGTGCCCTCCTCAATGATGTGTAAGAGGTTTGACGTTCTCCTACACTGGGTATTGTTCGAGATTGACCGAAATCAAGAAAATCAGAGGGACATCATATTAAACATGCTATGCATTTGTACATGTATCTATTCATGCACATATTTATAAATGAGACTAATACAACATTTAATAAAATATCCAACCATGAAAAAGGAGATTCTGTGATACTGAAAAAGTGGTATTGATGTAAACATCCTCAGCCTCGCAGCAGTCTTAGCCCTTAAATAAGCATCATGTTGATATTCTATGATAGTATAGAGCTTTAAAAAGTGTTACTATTAAATAAAGGTGCATATAGCCTATCAAAGTCTTTCTGAGACGTCTTGGCTTAAACTCTCACATCTGAAGGATTGGATCACTGCTTGCAGCTCACACTCTCCATAAAACACTCGTCTCAGAGCCGAACCTTGTAAATTTTAAAATGATACAACATTGCAGTTGAGATTTATCCATGAGCCCTCAATTGGGGGTGAATATGTTTTAATTTAAATTGTATAGACTGGTAAAATACCAGACGATGGATTGAGATATTTTCCTAAGTATATATTTTCCATAAAGTTTGCTTAATATTTCCAATAGATAGAAAATAACTGATGAATAGATGAATAAATACATAATGTTCCACAATTAATTAAAGTGGACATGTAGTACTCAGTGTCTCCACAGGGTGGAGGGTCTGGATTATGAGTCAACTAATAACGCATACAGAGAGTTCGTTTAGCAGATCAGTTCTCTATAGTTAATTACATTGTTGATTACTTTATTAATCCCAGAGGGAAATTTACAAATCACAGCAGCAGCAAACGAAGAGTATTGCAAGTAAAGGTAGTAGTAATAAATAAACATTATTAAATAATTGTAAGTAGTCCTATTATAAAGAGTAATGAAAACTAGTGGAAATAACAGTAAAATAAGTAAAAATTCTGAACATGTCCTCTGAATAAATGTAAACAGAAATGAGATGCAGATAAGCAGCAAAGTAAAAATGATCAACAGTGTCCAGTATTTGTATCCAACTACTTGGAACATAATTTCATTCAAACCTCAAAAATCTCTTTGACAGTATTTCAACCTAAGACAACTGAAGGCAGGAGCCCACTGTGGACATGTACATGTACAAGAATACCCCAAGTTTGACATTTCTTGCACTCACAGGCACAGTCCTTAATCAATAACTCCTTAGGTCAATTAAATATCAATTATGCACGTTAAATCCTGTAAGACACTACTTCAATAAAAAAAGGAGATATTTCTGAGGACATTAGATACAAGATAATCAACTTGCAAAAAAGGGAAAAAAAACAGAGTTTATTACTATTTAATATTATTAATATTTAATATTTAGTAATTATTAAACAGTTTAGAGATAATAAGACTCCTAACAACTGAGTGAGAATTGGCAGATCACAAAAACTGTGACCATCAGTACACAGTACTTAAAGCTTTCATCTTTGACACAGAGGAGAAAATCAAGCTCCACTTTTTCCTCAGATCCAAAAAAATGCACGTTTATGTCCATCCTTTGTGAGAAGACAACGCTAAAGGTCTGAAAGGATGTTTAGCTGTCAAGAAGCTATTACTGAGAAATGGAAATAAATGAAAAAGCCAAACAAAAATTTGCAGTAGAATACTGAAACTGAACATCTGAAATGTGGAGTAAGCTTTTATGGACTGATGAGTCTAAACAGGGGCACCACTAGACGTTTATGGATGGGGGTCCTAGGCATGTACGACTCTGTAAAAAATGATTCAGTGCTTTAACTTAAAAATATATAACCTGGTTGCCTTAAAAGTTTGAGTTCACTGAACTTCAACTTATTTTGAACTTGAAATAATAGCAGAATGTAAAACACATTATTGTTTTGTTAGCTTACTATTAGAAGTTCAATGAACTCAAAATTTTAAGGCATCAACCTCTTTGTAGTTGAGCTAGTATGCCTTAAATACTACATCTATCCACTTACAACAGGCATAGATCATGCAAAGCCCCTTAAGTCAAGCAATGCTATTTCCCCCTTTTTAGATAAGCCACAAGATCCTAAATATATTATTTATTTTATTAATATTATATTATTGATATTATAATAGTCTCAGAACGAGTGTGATTCTGCACAATATGCATGTTTAATAAGCTATGTGACAGAACTTCATGGTCATAGTGACAAACATTTTCTATGCTAAATTAAACTAAATGTAGTTTTAATTTTAATCGAAAGCGTAAAGAACTCTCCTTCGCTTTCTTCTAGATTACTAACCTCCATCAGATCTGCTCCTTCAGTCCTGTCAGTCTCCTTCAGCTTCTTTCTCTGTCTCTCTTCCTGTGTTTAGTAATACATTATTTTTGAAACTCAGATTTACAAGAACTCAAAGAAACAATGAGAGCTCAATCAATTATTTTTAAAACCTTCTCATTTGACAGACTTTAGACGGAGCTGCCGCCTCTTAAATTCCTTTTCACTGGCATTAACTTACTGTCACCAACACTATATAACAAATATTTGTGTTAGTGTTTACAGACACTGAAGAAAAATATAAAAACAAAGAATACAAAGAGCTGCCAATTACGTTATTTCTATTTCTGTCTCTCGTTCACACTCTCAGTGCAGTGAGGTCAAAATAGTTGGCTTGTCAGCTAACCTAGCTAGCTAATGTTATTGTTAGCCTAACTGGAAACCGAGTAAAACTGGATAGCCAGCTATACTGACCATAATTTGCCACAAATCCATATTGTAGGTGGGTAGTCACTCTGTAAATACTTATTGTTTCATATTGTATATTATAAAAATTAAATTATTTTGAATAAGACCTAATGTTCATTTTTGTGAGCTTTCAGCCAAAATCTTGCGTTCAGCTTCAGCGGTTGCGGACTGACGTTACTTTGCAGAGCGATTAAAACCAGAGACCCTCCCCCAGGTCTGATATGATTGGCTTAAGGACGTGCGAGGTCTGATATGATTGGCGTAAAATTTGTGAGGTCTGATATGATTGGCAGAGTCGGGGGATCCACTTTTCATGTCATCTCTGGTAGCACTGAACATAGATATACATACAGAAGCATTACATAATACACGTTCATATATATATATATATATATATATATATATATATATATATATATAAATATTCATGAACATGTATTACATTTACATACACATTAGAGCAGCAACAGCGCCTCCCCCAGGTCGCGCCCTGTTATCACAGCATATAGTGAAGTTAGAGGATGGCAGGTTGAATAATGAAGAAAGAATGGGAATACGCTATTAATGATTTCAACTAATAATGTACAATTATGTGTGTGTATGGGGTGGGGGGTGGTGGTATTTATTAGGGGATAAAGCAAATGCAAACAAGTTCCAAGATTGAACTTCGTAGGTATTTGGTTATATTTGGTTTCTATACATGCTTTTTTCCGCTGATGCTGAAAAATGATTAACTTCCTCTTAAGGGCAGCTTTCACTGTAAATTAAATAGAAAACGACAAAAGGTTCCAGTTCTACTGCTCATTAAATGCAGAGAAGCTGCCCTCAGTCAAAGAAATCAATTAATGGTTGCCTTCATGCCTCTATGATGCAAACACATACAATATACGTGTGTGTATGACTGTAATACTCCACTGCTTTTCCCATATTACTTTCATCAATATCTTGTCCCAAACAGAAAGCCAAACAGCTGTGAACCAACACTGCACCAGAAACTGCACTCCCCACTGTAAACCCAGTGTGACACCAATCTGCTAGTGTTGTAGTTCAAGAGGTCAGTCACATCACAGCATAGTCCAGTTGGAAATGGGAAAATCTTTTCTTTTTTCAAAGAAAAGGGGAACAAACTTAGATAAAGATTAGAAATTTCAAAATATAGTAATATTGGTTTCAACTTTTTTTTTTTTTTTACAAATGATACAGACAGCCTGCTAAACAGTTTATGACAAACAATTAGAGGACATAAAGTGTGCTTAACGCTAATAAACAATCTCAAAGACATAGTTGAAAAAAAAGTTTTCTGCATCTAAATATTTGAAACAGTCTGGGGATAAAGTAATAGCAAGTAATAGTAAAGCATGCTAAAAATGAGTTACAATACACACACTGTATAAATATTCACATAAACGATCCAGAGCCGCTGTTCTTCTTCCACACAGTCTTTTATTTGTAAATAATAAAAATGAACTCTTGAATATAAAACATACACATCATTTGAGCCACATCTGTTGTACAAACAAGAAATGTTGCAGTGAATACTTTCTATTCTGTTTCAGTGGGACACATGAATTGTAAACAATCAGTATCCTTGAATAATACTGACAAAGTAAAGGAAAGAAGTCTGCCGTAACGGACATGAAAAGTAAACTTGTTATCAAAACATGATCTCATGGGCTTTGTTCTAATGCAGTAACAGGTAGGCAGAGGTCCCAATTCTAGTGGTTATTTTGGCCATAAATGTCTGAAAGAATCAGAAACTCTGGAGGTGTCCCTTCTCAGCCTTTGTTCCGTTCAACGGAGCCAGGAGACAGAGCATTAATCCATTTACACGGGGCCACTTTGTAAATATAAGTAAACCTCATAGCAGACTCATATTTACAATATGTGCATGTATGTTTCTGTAGGCGACGTTTACTTGGATACACTTTGTTTTTTTTGTTTTTTTGTTTTTTTATATATGTATATATATCTATGCTGTTCTCATTTTTGTATAATCATAATCATTTTTCATATATAGATAGCTCTGGTTTTATACACATTATCTAGCTCGATTCTAGCCCCACAGTAGTAGACTACAGTGAACACCAACATCTTCAGTAAAAACAGGGGCCTCATGTTTGCTCAGTACTACAGTACAGCACTTATTTATCCATAGGGTAAAAAAGAAAACAATTCAAAAACTCCTCATAGACATTCAGCCCCAAAAAATGAGGCCTGTGTGCATGGCTGAACTTGGCCAAATGCCCACACATGGAATGAATGGCTTCATTTTATTGGTTAATCTATTAATATCAAGTACGAGCAAACTGTACAAGTACATGCAACATACAAGCTGGCCTACAGTATGTGGAACTAACACACATTTATTTTAGTCTCTTTTTTCTCATCTGTCTTGTTTTACAAAATGTGCATGCAGCTTGGAACGGTTCCAGAGTCATGCTGTTGCCCGTGTTGAGGGGAAAAGGTGGCGAGTTTTGGGAGGTCACCACCTCAGGCCGTCTCCTGAACCACCTCTCACATACTGTCACATTCGTTCAGATGCTCGGGGGAAATTTTAGGACTTTTTTCTAACTAACTTAAACCACAACAAAATTAAAAAAGGCAAAAATAGGAAGCTAATGATAATTTGGCCTTTTTTTCGTCTTCTTGTAAAGTTCGTTAAAAAAATCAAGCGTTTGTGCTTGCGTTAAAATAATGTAAACTCTAGTTGGATAGAAATTCAATTATGTGCAGGTCCCCAAAAATGGTCTAAATGTACTAAAAGAAATAAAGTATGATTGGCTATTGCCTAAGTGCACTGGGCTTGTCCATAGTCACCGGATCTCAATGTACTGGCTAGAGCTCAAAGTACATTTGATGGTCAGCGTCCTGGGCGGTCAAATACATTAGTGTTTATTAGTATTAATGTCAGAGATAATCATTTCTGTAATCTCCTGGCAAGGCTGAATTTAAGCTAAATTATAATCGTAGCTTCAGAAAGTCCCAGTGTTCTAATGCATGTGGTTGTTTTGTGTCTTCCTTGAAGCTTATACAACAAAAATGTCAGAAAACATGGAACATGTCTTCACATTCTACAAGGTGTGCAATGTATCAAATCAACGAGAAAGTAAAAAAGGCAAAGCAGTCAGTGGCGACTGCTGTAAACAGACAAAGGTTTTCAGGCTGGCCTCCCCTCTCTAACATGCTTGATCTGAGCCAGTGCCACACTGGCATGAGGAGCAGCCCTAGACTCAGCACCCATGAGGAGGAGGGGAGACTTTGAGAAGACTAACCCTTGCCCTTTGACCCCTGACCTCTGGGCTCCCCCAGCAGAGCGGCTTCCTGTACATGCAAGGTGGGGGAGGGGCAGTGTTGTCCTCACTCTCACTGATCCACCATCACACCGCTGCCTCGCACACTCACACACTCCTTATATGGTTAGAAAGCAACTCCTAAATGTTACTGATTGGCAAGAACCACTCAGGCTACCAGCACCACGGTCGGCTCCTCTCTTTGTCAGCCGAAGCAGATTGCTTTCAGCTGCTTGTCATTCCCTTTTTTTTGGAAAAAAAGTTTGAGCTAACTCATCATCTCAGCAACATAGCTTAAAACAAACAGAACATGCAGTAAGGAGCGGAGTGGATCAAAGGAAAATCTCTACAATCCAAAGACCAAAAATGAAAAGAGAGGAGAAGTGATTGTCAGGCTCCGGCAAAGCTTTGAAAGTGAAACTGTCCGTCTGTCTGGCTGCCCCTCTAACGCTGATTGTTGCCACGGGTCCTTGGTCCATTCGATTGCATTTTTCTCTCCTTCGTTCCTCTCCCGTTCACTAGGACCTGACGCCTGGCGGCCCTGAATCGAGTGATGACTGGGAAGCACGTCGAGTGAGAGGAGCTAACGTTGGGTCCACCAATGAAGATGGGGGAAACAGTTTGTACCAGCCAATCACTGTGCTAGAAAGGTCCAGCTCCTCTAATAGAATCTGTGCAACTCCCATGAAACATTTGTGGTCCATGCGGCCATAATCGCCCCACACTATTACCTGTTGGACAAAAAAACATTTTACACTTTGAAATGACACAAAAACAATTACTTTTGAAGATAAGCCAGATAAAAATGTAACCCTCCACCCCTGTTTTTTACCTGGAGAACTTTACCCTGCGGACTCTCCTCGAACAGCAGTGATTGCTGATACAATGGGTCAAGCGTTTTTCGTGCAATCTTGGTTTTCTTTTTGGCTTTACATGCTCCATTATCCAGCAAGTAAACCTTGACATAGGGAGCTGTGGACAGCAAGCATGATTCCCATTAAAAAGGGACCAGTTCAGCACCCAGTTTCCCAAAAACATCTTTGTGTCAAAAACATCTTAACAGGTACTGAGAATGCTCAGTGTTACGTTTGCTCTACCATTTAAGAAATAATATTTGTGCTAAGATGCTTTAGGGAGACCTAGCCCTGAGCAGTAAATAAGCATGCATGAGTAAACTTTTACCTGGCAGCGATTTGGATCCTGGTTTGGGGGTAAGGCCACGTGCCCTGATCACCTCCACCTCAAGCTGCCCCTTCTTATCCATTAAACCAATCTGAACATCTCCTGGACATCAAAAAACAGACAATAGGAATGTTATGAATGTGAAACTGAATGTGTTAGTTTCAGTCACTAAAGGCCTGGTAAAAAATCTGATTGAAAAAGTACAATTGCGCCTCACCCATAGAGGGTGTTGCTAGGGTCTGTCTCCCTACAAGCTGGGCAGGACCGAGGCCATCCAGGAAGTCACTGAATTGGCTGTCAGCCCCCAGCCTCATCCCTGAGAAGATCAGACTACCACACACACACACACACAAAAACATACACAAAACATCTTGTTTCATATGTGGCAGGTGTTCTGTGTGATTTTTTTTCACAGACATCTTTTTGGTGAGTTCAAATCAGCATGATTCCTTATTTGTTTATAATGGCAGGGATTGGTTTAAGCTTTTAAGCTTGAAAAAAAAAAAGCATTTCAAGTCCTGCCTCTTGCACTGCTTTTCATCAGCAAAATGTTTTGTTCTTTCTTCGGTTAATTGCAGTTTCATGTCAATAGCACTGTACATGAGAAACATGAAAGAGCTTCTCATTGTTGCTCAAATCTAAGAAAACGGGAAAAAGGTTCAGAAAAAAAATTCCAAAACCAAGATTTAAAACTAAACCATCAAAATAAATGTTTGGGGAACAGCAGGCTAAGTAAAGAAATCATTACCATCAGTATAATAACATAACACTGTGCAAAAGTCAGAAACCACCCTTCATTTATTTAATTTTCAGTCAAAGAAAGTTTATTTTTAGATGACATTTCTAAGGTGATTAGATATAAAATAATCCACTTGCATAAGGAAAGAGAAAGTCAATATATAAAAATAAGTGAAAAACATCATTTAATGTGTTTGGGAATGCATGGATCATGAGCAGCAGAAAATGCAACCAACTTCTAAGACTGAACTTTGGAGGTGTGGAAATGTATCCCTGCAGATTGCTTTAAAAAATTGAAAGCAAGTCTCCTGAAAATATTATATTTAGCTGTTAAGGCCTTTGTGTAATTTTCTATTATAAATATGTTTTTGCTGTTTCCTGATGCTGGAAAAATTAATGACTTGTTTGTGTTGACTGGAAATTAATTAAATGAAGTGTGATCTCTGGCTTTTTAACAATCCTGTACATACAAAACTCACACACACACATTAGGCAATATTACACTGAGGTGACAGGCTGAATGAGTTAATTTACCAAAACCAATAACCACCAATTATGACCTGTACAAAAGAAAAGACAGAGAGCTACACTCTGTCCATCTTCTGAATAGCAGACGTGTATTAAGCGTGGTATGTAAACCACGTCCTGTGCTGCGGCCCCTCAAACACAGGCGATATTTCCTTTGAGACCAGCACAGTTTCCATGAGCTAACTACAACAGGAATGTCTGAGAGCAGTGCCAGCCGGTGTCATGCTACCATATGAGAGGCCTCATAGATCTTTAACCTCCTTTTAATACACATTAATGTACAATTAGCTTTACATCACACCGTCATGCGTATTTCTCAATGTCATGCTCTGGGCTGGATCAGCGAGAGTCGCCGTGACTGGCCACAGCACTGTCAGCTCCTCGGTGAACGATAGCTGTTCTATTTGTGCTCAGCCCAGGACCCTGCCGAGGCCTCTCTGCACAGATGATGGATATTTTAATTATCAGAGGGGAGGAAGGCTCACCATCTGGCTCCAAAAATGGAGCTACAGAAACAATGGACATATTAACTGTGCAAATCAGTGCTTGAAGAGCCTACCTTAACCTCTGTTTTCCATTAGCTTATCTTTTCCACAATACATCTCTCTGGCTTTTCCAAAAGATTTATGCAACTTGTTAGACGCACCATATTCACAGAAGGTCAAAAAGTCATTAGTGTATAAGTACGGTTTGACGGGTTTAACAAAAACAACAGACATTTGATCAGGAAACACTTCAAATGAAGAAGTGTGAGTTTGAATGGTGAATTTGTGGGATTTGTGTGGGTCTTGAGATACTGACTTCCCCTCAGAGCTGTAGCTGTTCATACTGCCATCGGTGGACTCTCGGCTGGCCTGACGAGCCATTGCATTCCGAGGATACTCCACTGCCATCCCTGTCTCTTGACTCCGCTGGATCTGACTCGAGCCTTTTGTCTTCTTATTTGCTGCTTCTACAGAGATATAAAGGAAAAGAAAGCAGTCATAGGACCAAACTATTCAATTAGACTGCAGGGTATTGTTACACTAATGTCTTAAATAGGAGAAACTTTTATGGCTTTAGTTGATAGCATACTCTTACTTTGACCAGTTTTTAATTGTTAACAAACTCCTAATTTAACACACTTGATTCAGTCAATCAAGGCTTCAGGAGCACCCACATAATCCACATAAAGTGGAAAAGTGTTGTTATTTCAGTGAAATAATGACTCAAGCAGAAGTGAAAAATACCTTTCCAAAAATAATGTGAGTAGAAGTACAAAATGCACAAGAACAAAAATTAGCAATCCCTACAGAACTGCAGTGGAACCTCTTAGTACATCCAGCATAAGAACTGATGAAGTTTGTCAGACTCTATTTTTCTCTTTTTGATGAGCTTTTAGTCTAAAATAAAAGGTCACAGGGGGGAACCAATTGCAAAATCTTTCAAATTACACCTACACGTACCTTTTCTTTAACAATGTGTTAAATATTTATAGACACAAAGATCTGAGTGATTTCAGGGAGCTCTGAAACGGTTCAACTATTTAAGCATTCACCCCAACATCAGGAGACTAAGTTTGAACCCTAACGATATCCACAGTCATCCATAACTGGGAGCCCAAGAGGAGGAAAGGTGTTGTGGGACTGTGTGAAACTAAAAAATGTGAGTTAGGTTAACTTCTGACTAAACTAAGTTGGCTGAACTCTAGTATCCTCAAGTTAACTCACGAAAATCTGCGTAATGAGCTGATTTTCACATTATTAACAGTGTAAAATATAAGTGCTGCTTGGCCGGTAGCATGCATTAAATGAATAAGGGCACTAACAGGGGTATCAGCAGGACACCAACCAATTAGTCCATGGAAGAAAAAAAAGACACAAACTGGAATTCTGAGGGTGCAGTATAAAAATCACATCAGATCCTTTCAGAATTTCCACTTGTGTGTACTGTTCATAAGTGTGTGTGCCCCAAAAAGTGTGCTTTTCCACTGTTGCTTTTCTTTACTGAGGAGGAAATACGGCTGTCTGAGACAAGGTGCTTTGGCCGTGCTGAGTATAACCATCTCCTGCTGGATGGCATGGAGCGCCTTCCCCACTATTTATGGCCTTTTGATGGATTGCAGATGCTTTGAAAATGCCATCCACTAAATTTGAACACTGAGCGCCAGTTGTTTGTTTGATTGGATTGAGGTATGTCACACATTGCACAGAATATCCCCTTGTGCCTTTTACCATACATCAAACTGCCATCAGCTGCTAGCTCTGATGAAATGGCAGAAAGAGATTCTCAAAGGCCTCTGTTTGCTGTTCAGGGTACTGGAGTTAGCAGGTAAAACCTTTCAGTGGTCAAGAGAAAGAAAAGGCTGACCAGTCCTGAGCTGCAGAAACAATTGTGCTTTCATGTCAAGGTACGTTTTTCTGAGCTGCATTTGCCAAAATTACTTTCAAAACTTAATGAGAGTTCACTGCAGTAACTTCATGTTTAACCAGTTCCAGGAGGTTAGATGATCAGGCAATGCAGTAAGATAACTTGTCTGCCAATCATTATTAAATCATTATTTGGACAAAATTACACACATGCTAATTCCTTACATTGGAATCCTAAAAGAAATGTATGGGGGTTTGTGCAAAGATCCTCCTCTGTTCTTCAGCTAGCTACACACAGAGGTAGGCTGCGGAGAGCAGAGCAGCTGCTGCAGGCCAGAGCTCTTTAAAATACTGATTTATAGAAGCTCTGCTACTCTGTCTGATTTATCATCTGATGGGCCTTTTAAGATATTGTCCAGGGGCTTGGCGGCCAAACACGCCAAGAACTTTTTTTCTACCATCCTTTTTGAATTTGTTTCTTTTTTTCTGAAATCCATTTATTAAACCATAAATAGACAGTGCTTAAAATATGGGATTTTAAAGGATATCAGATCCAACTTCAAAGGCATTTGTCTGCATTATATCTGATTAGAGTCCAGGGTTGATCTCTAGCTGACAGAGTAAACTCCTGCCAATGCTAACAGGAGAATGCTGCCACTCTCAGCTGCTTCAGCTCTCACAGGCTTACAGGTCACCCTATCCACTCTGCTGACATCCTATCTACTCTAATAATGACTGAAGGCACATGCCACTCTAAATGGAGAAGGGGAAAAGAAAAAGAGATATCAGTACGGTTCTCATCACTACAAATTGTGCTGTCTTTGCTTTTGTTACTGTTCATACACTAATTAGCAAATTTCTGTTTAAGGCTCATAAACACTGGCAAAAGCACTTAACAGAACTCAAATAATTCCTGAAAAAATACACAGAACTGCACTCACAGGTGTCCTGGTGGCAAGGAGGAAATAAAACGGTTTGGTCTCTCTTGTGTGAATTTATTAAACAGTAAGTTTGTTCTGGCACAAACAGCCAGCTTGTGGCCCATATTTTGGCACGTATGGGTTTTATACACATAGAGCAGAGTATAAAACACTGCTTATGAAGAATTTCACGTGACCAGTGCAGTAGTAGTAGGGAAGGAGAGTTTCACCTGTTTGGCTAAGCTGAGAGGTGCTCCTACTGCGTCTGGAGGGAATGCCCACAATGGCCACCACGCGGGCACTGAGGCTAGATCGCCGTTTCTTCCCTCCAGCCCCCAGAGTTCCCAGAGCTGTGTCTGACTGGCTGCCATCCGTACGCTCCAGAGAGAAGATCTCACCACTCACGCTCGTGCTTTTCAACATGCTCCGGCTGGACGGGTGAATATGACGGCTAATACACAGAGGGAGAAATTAGAAAAGACTTTCATTAACGCTATATAGTTGCTAATAAGACAATTAATTCTATAATATTTAAACCAAGTTAGAACAACAGGCCTTTTTATAAAGAGACTTCCCATTCTAAGAGATCTCAAAGAGGCATGCCAGCCTAAAACTAGCATTTAATATATCTGACAAAATTCACTATTTTATATCATTATCATTCTATCTTTCATCAATGTCCTCTTACAACAATATCCAGAATGAATACATTACACAAATGCATCATATAACCAATCCTGACTGCTAGCCTAGCCACTGAGCTATAGGCTAATAAACACAACCAAGCTAGCATCAGTGTAATTTGTAGAGGACAACATTTCAAAGAAAATAGCAATTTTATCTTTATTCAGTACGAAATGGACTCCAGAGGCACTTTTTTCACACAGAGTAAAGCAGCAAAACCCAAGTAAGAGATCAAGATAGCTTTTAGCTTGATCGCTCAGGTAAGAGATCAAGAATGTAGCTTTTAGCATGCTGTCCTCCACATCTGGCGAGTCATTTCTGTTGTTTGAGCAATCCATTCTCTCCATTGCAATGATGAACAACAACAGTTATATGGTTGAAATAAGATGTATGATGTCTTAAAAGTAACATTAGCTTAAATTAGTAACATGCCCTCCTATAATAATCTCCCCAAAGCTGTTTTTCAAAAGTTCCTCCTGCTTTCAAGATAAATCATTAACCCGTTAAAATCTGAGGCTTATTACATACTGAGGCCTATTATTCTGTAACTACAGGGACTTCAATGCAAACTGGCAGAGATATTCTCAGGTTATAGAAGTGTGTAATAAAACTTTGGCCATTTAAGGCATTTAAAGGGGTGGTTCTCCTACTCCTTAAACCAGAAAATCTCACTCTGGAGACTACTGCAGCCAGATGCCAGTAGGCATGTTTACAATAGATGTACTTATAGTTAAATGACTCATTTTGTCTTTTTAAAAAGCCCTAATTGGACAGTTACAAAAAAACTGTTCTGCTGTCCAGCTACTTCAGACAAGACTGCATGTTTTAATTGTCTTTCACATTAAGTTGAATTTTGTGTCCCTGGTGAAGCTGTTTTGACAGGTCAATTAAAGATTCATGTCAAGAGAGATAGATGGGGTATGGACAGGTCAGTGTTTGGATCTGTCGAATCCAGATCCAAACACTGAAAGGCTCAGCATAAGTTGGTGTCTTTTAAGGATTTAAGGTCAAAAAGCATGATGTTTGACCTTTACATCCAGTCCCCTTGATCAGAGTATTATGTTTTCAGATTCTGCCACTCACTTTTATTCATCTCCCATGCCCTCCTGCTGTCCTTCCTTTCGTCCCCATCACAACTCTTTAATGTCTTTAATCTGGGTGTTGTGAGTACCCGAAACTACACAGCATGCCACAAGCCATCAGAATCTATTAATATGTGTCTATTTTTTCTCAGTGTTCTCTGGCTGAGCATATAAAAGATAAGAGTAACTACAACAGAAAAGCAGACAACAGTGAGAGTGACTATTCGAGAAAATTATAAAAAGACATCACGCATTGGTGTCCAGTGTTTCTGACTGTGATTTAATAATATAATGGTAGGAAGCAACACTGAACAGAAAGCTAAGGTTTTCTGGGCCTTGGATCTCTCACCTGAAGCGGCCCCTGGGCCGCTCTGATTGGATGGACATGTAGCTGGTGCTACTGATCCGTGAGGCACTGCTGGCACGAGAGATGGCTGACACGTCACTGACATCACTGTCCGAGGACTTATGGGATACATTATCACAGCTCCGTCGCTGCTCTTTATAAAGCTGTAGCGGAGAAGGAGATGAAGCATGTACTCCTCTGTAGTAGAGGCAGGAGGTTTTATCAAGTGTGAATTGTGAACTCATCTAACAATCAATCAAAAGTTATCAAGAACCCTCAGCATATGGAGCACAAACAAAATCACAGCAAGATTGCCCTGAAAGTAGGATGAGCAGAAACAGGAGAGTTTACCTCTCGTTTGTTCTTGAGCGCCCTCTCCAGGTCCTGGCTGGTACTGGAGGGAGCTGGTGTTCTGTAGGTATGCACCTTCATCTGCCTTGTCCGCTCCTCAGAGGCAAGGGCTGCAATAAGCACAAGCATTTGACCATACTATATTCTACATTGTACACAATATGCACACATTTTGATGAATTTATATTAATTGTTTATGAACAAAAGCCTTATATTTACCCCTTATGTGGTTTCAAAGACACTCATTTTTGCCACTTAAACCCCAAGGCACCACAATGTGTATCCACACTTTAATTCCTTATTCTTGTAAATGCATAACAAACTATTAGTTTCATAGTACTTACCAAATAATTCATATTAGTTGTTGAATAATTAATTAAAGTGATTAATTACTGATTAATAATAATAAGCTTTATGGGCTTTAAGGCATAAACACATAAAATAAGGAAAGTTACTGTGCAGTACCTTGTTCTACACTGCTGCTTTTGGCAGGGACTTGGGGCAACTGTCTGCCCCTACGTGCCGATGAAGGAGTCCCTGTCGAAGAGTAAGCAGTGGTGGCATGCGGATGGCCCCTAAGAGGAAGGGAAGAGAAAACAAGCAAAAGAGAAACAAAAACTGTAAAAATATAAGCAACTGATAGGACATAAAACAAATCACTGTATTATCATACTGTATTATTCAGGACACAATCAGCTGTGAATCAAGCTCAGCATTATGGGCAGAACATTGTTTTTACATCAAAACATCACTTAATTTCAATGTCTGTTTAATCCTTAACAAAAGTGTTAAAATGTAGTTTGGTCTTTAATATTGTCAGTCAAAAAAGAAAAGAGTTGAGATCAAGTAAGAAACAAGAAATATAGAAAACACAAGAAATAGGGGTGACAGAGACAAGCCTATAAACATTCAGAAACAAGCCAAGGTCTGTGGGAATGTGCGGAAAAGCTACAGCTTCCAGTGAAGGAGCAGTAACTGTACAGCAAAATGAGACAACAAAGAGAGAAAAGTTTTCAGAAGAAAGTAATATTTGCATGTGGTGTGTGGGGGTGGGGTGTATTTTAGGAGTCAGAGGTTAGAAAGAGGTCTCTCAGCCTAGAGCAGGGTCAGCACCTGTCCAGTTGGGGTATGTCTGGGCTAGACCCCCCTTGGGTCACCTTACCCAGTGGAGGCAGGGATACCCCCTTTTCTCTGGAGCCCCTTAGAATAGAGGTAGGCTGTAATCTGCAAGCCGGTGAGGAAAGAAACATGCAAGAAAAGAAAATAAACACAAAACAAAACAACCACAAATTAAATAGCAGCACATGGACAAAGCAAATGAAGCTGATTAACAAAGACTTGAAGAAGAAGAAGAAGAAGAAGAAGGAAAAAAGTATAAAGTGAGGATGTGCGATTTACGAAAAACAGAGGGAAAGTGGATGAGCCCATGAGGCACAACAGTACTACTCCCGTGGAAATGTAACACTGGAAAAGAACCTGTGCCAACGTGAACATATACTAAAACATTTTGAAATTACTCTGATTACTGAAGCAAAATTATTAACCGCTGTTCACAGATAATGCACATTAATGTTCAATAACAGGTGCACACAGACACATAATAGAAGTGGATAGCAGCGAGTCATGGAACAGTTATGTGTGCATTATTTTTATCAGATGGTTATATGGATGTGATATTAAATGATATGGAATGTGTAACTCCTTACCGCTCACTGTCAGATATTTTCTTGCCCGTTTTCTGACAGTTAGGCTTGTCCAAAGTTCTTGACTGCCTATAATATGTAAATGTTTAAAGCAAAACAGAAATAAAAGAATGAGCGGAAATCACTGTGTAGTTAATGAAGATTAAAGGAAATGGGAATGAAAATGCTGGTTATGTATGTTTGAATTCACATTCTCCTTTCAAGTAGGCTCTGTGTGCACAGTGTACCTCTGTGCCACTGGCCTTGCACTGAGGTGGTTTACTGTCTCCTGAGTAGGAAAAATAGGCTCCGAAATCCAGCTGATGCATGCCATCAGGTCAGAGACACGTGGGTGACGGTGAAGGGAGGGGACAAAGACATAGACCGACACATGTGATTACAGAACGGATGAAAGACAAGTTTCAGCAAGACATTTCTCTTGTTACATTTTACAAAACAAACAATGCACGATGGAATGTGAGTGATGAGCAAAAAACATTAAAGACAACAAATAAGGCCATACAATGTTATGCTTGTGTAACAGATTTCGTTTGACTACATCTCTTGAGAAAAGATTGTCTGTTTGGCAACTTATAAACCACTTCAGCCTCTCAGGAAATCTGTGCAGCACTGCAATGCGCACCTGCCATGTAAGCACTCAGTTTTACCTATCACTGCATGGGCACCCCTGATTTCAGTCCCCCATTATTCTTTTAATTCGTTAGACAAACTTGCATGGCCTATTTGCTCAACATTATGATCAAACACATATTGTCTTTTTCACCGGGTAGTGTGGTAGAGTTGAGCACCCATGTTGAATTTGGTTACTCTTGGGTTGCCAGGCCTGAATGAATGGGTGGCAAGCAATGGTGCAAATCACTGACTGGTCAACGCAACCATTACTTAATTATCATGTGGTGTCATGTGGGCCCCCTCGTTGTGGAGATATTAGCTTGTACTATAACCAGAACAGGCTGAAAAATTGGGCTTTTTGGTGTGCTATTTGAGCCAAATGGTTCAAACTGTTTGTGCTGTTTTTGTCAGGTTTTACTAGTGATTTTAAATATATTTCTGAAACATTACTGTCAATTTTAGTTTGAGGTTTATGGTTTCTCCTCATTCAAAGAGGTCTAGAACTTACTGGTTTAGTAAAAGTGGAAATAACTGCCCAGGGGCATTGCTAAGACTTTCATATAAGCACTTTACCACATTGCCCAGTGGAAAACGACATTAGTGAGTAGATGTGACTCTTATGTAGCCATCAGTACATTCATGAGTCATTGAGGATAATTCATTCCTCATTCTGAAATTGATAATGCACTGTAAACATGTAAACAACATCCTGAATCTTCTTCAGTAGTGAGAACCCAGAAAAAACAATCAGAACACAGCAAGAAAGGAAACAAGAATAAAAATCAGTAGAAAATTAATACATATTGTGAAGCATTTAGTCAACATCCAGTGAATTTGTATCATACTGACCTGTAGAACTAAAAAAAAAATCACATCACTTAAAAACATCTGGGACAAAATCTATACTAGGCCAAGGCTCTGAACTACACAGAAAGCAGCAAAGACCATAGGAATATCAAGGAAAAGGAGACGATATAGACAGGAAGTTTCAAGAGATCTACAACGACAGCAACAAATCAGGTTTTTGCCGTGGGGTGGAGGGGGGTGCTAAAGAGAAGAAGAATTCTACAAAACAGTTCACACTAATAATCTACAGCACTCACGCACGCACAGGACAGCCAGCTTGGGGGTTGGGAGTCAGAGTGAATCAAAAATGAAGCCACAGGTTAGACGGAAACCAGAATACATCTAGTACACAAACTTCATTAAAGATTAAAGCATGGGCTTAGCTAAAGGGCACATGAAGTAGCGGCCTAGCTGAGGCAGGCAGTTAGGACAGGAGAGGAGAGTTTTCAGCGTTAGCAGAGGCGCTCGGGGGGGGGGACAGGGGGGTACCTGTCGTCCTCAGGGGAGGCGTGTTGGATTAGAATCCTGGGGCTGGTGGGTCGGGTGCAGGGGGGAGACTGGGTGCTCCTGAGAGAGTGTGTGTCCAACGCACCCCAAGAGGTTGAGGTGGGAATGGGAAAGAAACAGGGCAAGTCAGGACAGAGACAGGGACTGTGTTTATCTCACATTTATGATGTGCTATGCAGAAGCTCAGGGGACAGTCTTATCTGAACCTACCCAACACGGTACACCCAGCACGGTACACCCAACACAGCACAACACAACCTCTAACTCTCTACCATGCAGCAGGGGAGAAGTACAAGTATGAGTCATAAGAGTCTCTGAAAATAAACTCTTTATTGTGAAAAGACACTAAACTGACGTGTATTAATTGTATGCCCATGTTGAACAAGTTCCATAAGTGACAATATGCAAAGAGTGCATGTTCCCTGTGATTTATAAAGTAAAGGTGAAAAAAAGAAACAATAATAATAATAATACACCTACAAAGTTAGGTTAAAGAATGGTAAAGCGATGAATGCATTCTTACGTAAAGCATACAAGTCTGTGAATGATGGAAATGATCAATAAAAACAGCAAAACAACTCAAACTAGGCGATAAAGAAAGAGGTCTGGTGAGTACCTTTCTTGTTCTGGTGAATTGGAATTTGAACCTGGTCTCAGACAGTTGGTACTAGCACTTCTAACCCTGTCAAGAGGGGGCTGCAGATCACTAGGATCACAACATGCCATCCGATGGAGAGACGGAAAGGAGGACAAAAAAGACAAAAAGATGAAGAATAACAAGCAAATAATATTAGATACAAAAAAAGAACAGGCTTTTCTCATCATGGCAAAGGAGACTGGAAAGCATGCAATGAAACCTGCTGATAATGACATAAGACATATCATCCTTACGTTTTTACAGGCCAGTGTGCTTACACTTCTTTATATATACTGGGATGATTTTGTGTCCGTCTTGAGAGATCTATGGGTATGATCTAACTCTTACCTAATGGTGCTGTCATCAGTGAACCTGAGCACACGCTGTGCGACAGTTCGGCGTGTGGCAGAGACCACTGAAGGCTGGGGCTGAGTCTTAAGGCATGCAGGAAGGGTAGAACTTAACACACAACCATGCATGGCATACACACAAAAACACAAATACACAAAAATACTATCTGAGTAAAATTCAATGAGTAACACTGGAAAAAGCTAAATTACAATAATATAACAAGGAATTGTATTAAAATTGCCTAAAAATTATGAGAAACGTATAATAAAATGACCATAACGTTGCTGACTTTTAGTGGTTTATTAGAAGCCAAAATATGCATAACTTGAATAAGTAGCGTTAATTAACACATCATTTGTATAATCAAATTTAGAGTGCACTGTTGTTTTGCATCCACAGAAAAGCTGAAAGGTAGAAGAAAAGAGAGGGACAGAGTTCCCCCACACACCTCAGGGCCTTAAACCATGGTTATTTGGGGGAAAAAAAACATACATTTGAACTGCTTGGATTAAATGCTTGGATTTGCATGTATTAACATACATACATCTAATTCAGCATTCAGGTACATTATTAGATTTGAGTGACAGACACAGTATAAGCAGTTTCCTCGTAAAAACACAATTAATTTAACATTAATTGTTTGTCTTGCCAAATATGAAAAGCCTCTTGTGTGTTTTAATAAACTGATTTGCTTGCTTGATGGATATAATGCATGGCATGGCACTCATACAGCACTGTGCAAAAGTCTTAAGCATTTAAGCACTCTATTTAAAACCATTTATTTTGGCAATATGTGTGTGTTTGCTGGTAAAATCATCCTATATCATTGGGATAAATGCAAATAAACATGAATACAACAAAAAGAAATCAACAATTTAATTTGTTTATAAAGTAGTTAGTATCTTCTTAGTTTGAAGAACAAAGTTTCGTTCCAGATTTCTCCTCCAGCCATCACATACATGTATTAAATTCCATCACCAGCACACCTGACTTCACTTAATGAAGCACCAATTATCCAAACCAGGTACTGGATGCTAATTACTATTAATTAAGTTACTCTTATTAGTCCCATAACAGGGAAATTTCACCTCTGCATTTTAACCCATCCATGCAGTGAAACACCCACATATACACTAGTGAATGGACACACACTAGGGGGCAGTGAGTACACTTGCCCAGAATGGTGGGCAGCCCTATCCACAGCATACAGGGAGCAGTTGGGTTGCTTGCTCAAGGGCACTTCAGTCACATACTATCAGCTCAGGGGATCGAACTAATGACCTTCCAGTCACAAGGCTGGTTCCCTAGCCTCCAGCCCATGAATGATGTGCTGCCAGAGGTTAGAAATCGTTAAACAAACATATTGATATATGTCAAAAAAAGCCTACTTATTGTACTAATATTATTGGTCTGTAATGTAAGTGTTCTTCTGGGCTCTTTAATTGTAATTTTCTCAGGTGCTGAAAACTTTTGCACAGGACTACACATGCTTAACACAATACGTAAAACAGAAAGAGATCTATGTTTACTTAAAGCCCCAAACAGGAAACACTGCAGCTTCCAAGCTAATTTTATTACCATAACAACAGAGGAACCACAAAACACATACTAACAAATAAAAACCATATTGCTGTTGTCGGAAGAAAACCTCATATCTCCAGAATGGTAACTTCACAGGAAAAGGAAAAAACCTACTTTACTTTTAATGTAAGTCAGTGGAGCCAGACTTTTTTTCCAAGTCATTTTGGGCTGTTTCTTTTGGTCCATTCTTCATGAAATTTACACACAATGTAAAAGGCAACAAGCATTTTTCAAATTCACAAACTGAAAAACAACAAAAATGGAGATACGAGGTTTTGTTCCAACAGCAGCAATATATACATTTGCTACATTCTCTGCAAATGAGCTTAAAGCCAGTCCCGGGTTCATTATTGTGTTATTTTAGCAAGTCTGGGGCTTTAAGGGCAAAAATATTTTTTGCCTCCTTACCTATAGATGTCTTTATGAATGCCATTGACTAAGAGGGGCATCTTAGGAGGGAGTGTGCTATACCTTCTGACGTTAGAACAACGTGCAAGCATGCAAGAAGTGGATAATAAAACAAAGTAAAACAACAGCAAACGTAATCCAAAAAGCAGAAAAAAAAGGCTGTGCATTACTTAAGAACCAGCTCCTGCCGGGAAGTTGGCCTCTCTATGACAGGTTCTCTGATTTGTACACTGATGCCGTGATTAAAATAAATGTCATAGTAACACTCGAATAAAGTATGATGGTTATTCTGAGGTTAACTAAACTGTTGCCTTGTAGAGATTGCTGGTTTTGTCTTTAGGCAGTGTGCCATTAAAGAGTGGAAAGTTCCACTGGTAATGGTTCTTGTCAGTGAGCTACTGTGCTGCATAATACTGAACGAAGACCAAGACAGTTTAAATAGAAACACTCGAGAGAGAATACGGAAAGAACATGATAGCATCTACGCCGCACACATACACTCAATCAAACTGAATAGAAGGGCCAAACAAACTAGAAAAAAGGTAAGGTGATGATAATAAAGCAACATTCTAACTCCTAGTAAAGATCCAGTTGGGACCCAGTGTTTTACCTTTTGGTGTGCAGGCACTCTGCGCTCCTACCCCGCATTGATCTGTGTATCAAGATGACCTCACTGCAATTACCATGAACATGGGTGACACATGAGGGAACAAACAAACAAACAAAACAATAAACAAGCAAACATAAATAAAGAGCATGGGTATAATAGGACTCGGAGCAGAGCGTAAATATCTTTATAACAACAGAAGTTGAGCATGATAAGGAGCATATGCTTTAATGAGCAATACATTAAATTACAGAGCTTATTATTTGATTCCCAACCATAGAAATAGTTTGGAAGAATTTAACCAACATTCCTCTGGACAAAATGAACCATCAGTAAATTCAGAATCATGTGAAATGGTGATGTGAAAATAAAAAAAACATGATGGGGAATATTGGATAAATTCATTCAAACTGACTTCAAAGAAAGCAGTTACAAATTACGTATCCTGCATGGAATGCTCTTTTCGGAGGTACAGGCCTACCCTTATGAATGCTCTATATCTCACAGGCCAACTTTAATAATGTCAAACTCTGAAGAAGAAAGTGGTTTGCTCCTGGTTTTCCCTTTTTGAAAAACATGATATTACATTAATGCGTACAAAGCATTATAATGCAATATCATTTCTGTTAGCCAGTCTTTTTCCACAGTGAGCTCTGAGACTCACTGTATCTGCAGGACCTCTTCAACATCAGTATCAAGTAGAGACAAAATATATGCTATAAGGCACATGGAAGCAACAGAAGACGATGTTATATTTCAGTCATACACAAGCACTGACTCTTCTTTACCTGTCATCCACATACTCTCTCTCCTGTACACGGCCACGGTCATGGTAACGGGTGGGGGAACGAGACCGCCGGCTATGCTGAACCTCATCTAAACTCCTGCGGAGGGTGGGAGAGGGAGAGAGAGAGAGAGAGAGAGAGTGAGAGAGAGAGAGAGAGAGAGAGTGAGAGAGAGAGCGGAAGAGAGCGTGAAAGAGAAAGAGAGAGAGAGAAAGAGTGAGAGAGAAGGAGTAAAAAGGTGGAAGAAAGAAAGGGGGAAGAGAGACAAAGAGAGAGAGGAAGAAAGAGGAAGAGAGGGAGAGATAGAGAAGGGGAAGAAGGAGAAAGAGAGAAGGAGAGAGAGTGAAAAGGTGGGAGAAAGAGAACAGGAAGGAAAGTTAGAGAGAGAGAGAGAAGGGGAAGAGGGAGAAATAGAGAGAGAGAAAAGGTGGGTGGGAGAGAGGGAGAGAGAGAGAGAGAGAGGGAGAGAGAGAGGGAGAGACAGACAGAGAGAAGAAGATTTTACCATTTGTTAAAAGGCCCATATCTTGAAAAAACAACTTTTCCACACATTTTTAAATAGTTTGACGTGGTATATAACGACTGTTAAAGTTTCAAAAAGTACCACTCATTCCGTCGTCAAATATCCATATAGTCCATATATGAAAAATAAGCTGCAAAAACAGTCAGTTTTGAACTCACTCTTTTTGTGATGTCACAGAAAAACTATTTAAAAGTATCAGCCTATTCAGCCTACAGCAACTTAGCTCTGCTCATTCCCTCTGAAGTTATAAGAAGTGTTTCAGTCCAGAATGCTTTTTGAATGAGGCACAATACAGGGCAATCAATCACAAAAACATTTTAAGTGGGCTTTGAGAAAAAAGATAAAACACACGAAAAATGTAGGATGAGGACACTTTAATGTAACTTAAAAAAATGAAAGTTTTGCTTTTCAACATTTCTATTTGTTTATTCCTCATGAAGTATCCACACAGGGTAATGGGTAGCTGCGTTTTCATAAAGAGAAAAAAGTAAGCCCACCCCCTCCGCTGTTCTTTACCTCTGCATGGGGATGTTAGCAGGCCGTGATCTGGCCCGGCTCTCCTCGTCTCTGTGAGGGGATACAGAGCGAGAGCGATGATGCGTCGACCTCTGCTGCTCAGGAACCTCTAACGTGGTCCGATCTCTGTCTCTCTCCCTCTCCCTCTCTCTGTCCCGCTCTCTCTCCCTCTCCCTTTCCCTTGGCCGACTCTCTGCAGCTATAAATAGACAAACACACACACATGCACAGACACACACACATCCAAAAAGCAATATTTCAAAAATAAATACTACTTCAAAAAATGCTAAAAGAGGAAAGAGTTGTTTAGCTCATTTTAAAATATGCATGCAAAAAAAAGCACCAAAATGATACCCGTTTCATTCAAGTGTCTACTTTTCCAAAACAGCAGCCACATCTGTTCACTGTGATGACATTTGAGCCCAAAAACTGGATGGAAGTAAACTTACTACTTGCTGTTTACTTAGGAAAAATAGTTTACATTCCTATTTACCTAAAACTTTTGTCCAGATCTTGTTCTATTAGCCAGCTACAGAGCCCTCTGAGCTACCAGCAATTACAAACTAAACATCCTTAGCTAAAGAAATGAGACTATAAAAATGCACTTTACATTTGGACTGTCTTCCAAACGACTACTTTAATTTATTGCTTGAAGAAGTTTACTGAGCAGAGAGGCTGTAGAGAAAGTAACAGTCATGCTATGAGCTGAAGACCTGCATGGATTAATGTCGTTCTACAGAGCACCTCCTTTAGGTGCAGCAAAGCCACAACAGAACTCACAGTCATATAAGACGTGCTGCTTTTGGAGAATGAAAGCAAGGTATCGAGGGTAATCTACCACAATCACTTTATCATATCATGTTCTACTCTCTACCATGCAGAGAGAAAAGAGAACGTAACTCCGAGGAGAGGACACATCAGCCTTGTTTTGTGTGTACTCTTTTGGCTTTTCTCTTTCTCTGGTATCATGCACACCTTGTACTGTGTAGTGTGGTCAAGGTCTACTGTGCGGAGAAAAGCACTGGAGACAGGACACTACCCATGGAGGCTCAACTCTCAGTCTCTAACACAACAAATGCTCTATGCTCTAGTTTTATACAGTAGACTGAGTTGCCAGTTTATTAGGCACAACCCACCTTCACACAAATTGTACATTCTGTCAGTTATAAGTCATATAACTGAGGTTCAGAGGGGAATCATAAGGGCCTTCTAGGGTTTCAGACAAATAAAAAGATTCTGGGAAATAAAAAAATTGTGTCTGTAATTTTTATTTTAGTTTTATTTAATAGAATCATCATGCTTTTTGTTTTTTTAAACTCTGCAAGTATTGTAGTACTGCTTGAAGTTTTGGTTAAAAACAAGTTCTTGAAACGCAGAACGTAAATTTGTCCAATCATGATTTTTTTTCCTGTGGTATCCAGTTAGATAGGGCCAAGCAGGCTCTCCCATTGGTTAGGACTTTAGGAACTGGTCTGAAGGCCTAATACGTCAGATTAACCACTAACATATTTAGGAAATGAAAGTGGAATCAACCAATCACCTTTTGATTTCCAGTGGGTGGAACAAGCTTTGTAAGAAAAAATATCACTCTACGCTTTCTGGAAGTTCTAGATATGTCACTGACTGTTAATACAAGCCAAAGTCTAACCAGCTTTCAGTCGTTAGAAATGAAATACAGTGGCGGCAGCTCTATGCCAGGACTGTTTACTGAAGGAGTCACTGTAAGATTGCTATATATGGTGAATATATGTTAATTTTTTTTTCAAACTGCAAATAAAACATGGAGTATCTTTTATGGGTTTCAAATGTTTGTTTTTAATCTAGAACGGCAAAAAATGTTTATACGAATTGATGTTTTTTCCTCGTTTTGCCACTCCTGCAGTTTGTATTACAATCAGGCAGATTAGCGTTTTTAGCTTCAGGTAGTGTTCAGTTGTGCACTGGACGAGATTTACCATTCATGTGAAAAGCAAAAATGTACCAGTGGACGAATACAACTTGTTAATCAGAGGGGTCAAGGACAATGGCGAGAACCGTGTAACCAAATAGACAGGCCACAAACAAGTCACATCTGATGTGAAGAATAAAAAGAGTATAATTTCAGAATGCACCACTCATCTGACTTTATCTCAAAAGGTCTATAACAGCCGAAGACCATGTTGTCGGCAAACAAAAACTGATGAGGAGTGGAAACAAGTTGTCTGGTCTGATGAATGCAGGTTCTTTTCGTGTAATGTAGATGGAAGGTTCAGAATTTAGGACATGCAACAGGAGTCCATGGAGCTGTCCTGTTTGGTATCAACAGTACAGGCCAGTGGTAGCAGCACGCTGCTGTAGGGAATACTTTCCTGGCATACAATAGGGACCCTGATATCCACAGAAAAAAAAAGTATGAACAGCACAGTACCTTTGAACGTTATTTCAAGTTCACCCCTTCATGTCTACAGTTTTTACACATTTGGATGGCCATGTCTTGAGACATAAACTGTCACCAAATTCCATTGCTTCAGTGGCCTGCACAGTCCATGGTTTTTAATAATATGGGGCATCTTTGGCATTGGGTGAAAATGGCTGTTCATGGTGAGACTGTGTAGCCGTCCAATCTGTGGAAACACAGTCATTTCTGCATGGAAACATATTCCTATGCAATGCGTACAGTATCTTGTAAAATCCTTGAATATTTTTGACTTAATGCTGTTCTGAAGATCAAAAGAGGTGCATAGATAATAAACCTAATAAACTGGCAAATTCTGTGAGGTGTGGTGTGTATCTGCAGCAATTTAGCATGTGAAGATAACACAGCACATGCTAAACACATTTTATGGCTTGCTGCATTGTCTCATTGGTGCGTTGTCTCCAGGACTACAGCAGAGGCTTTCAGTAGCACTGAAAGCCAGCTGCTGGCTTCTCTCTTTCTGTATTGAATTGCACAAACCACAGTTTTAGGGTAAGTTACTGGCACCATGCCCCCCCACCCACCTGTAGCCACTACGCCAATACCATCATCATAATCTGTTTCTGTGATACGCTGAGAGCCTGCACAGACACACACAAACACATATGCAGACAAACAGACAAACAGACAGACAAATTGATAGATGAACAAAACAAGCAAAAGACATTCATACATACGTGAAGACATGAGATTCTTACATGTTAGAAAAGGCCACATATAAATGTATGTACATATATAACCAGTCATTCACATACACTCACACACACATGGCACAAAAGAAATTTATGAATGTATAAACTCCATAACAGTCAGAAAGCATTAATGAGATCATGTTTGTTCAATAAATAAACTTTTAAAGTGAGGTGTTTGAATAATTATAGTCCTTTCAATTGTGCATTTTTTCCACACTTCTTTGCTAAAGAGTTTGTATAGTTAATATACAGCTGTGTGCAAAAGTTTAAACATCTCCAGTTAAATTATGTTTTGCTAATTTTCTTATTGTAAATATGGCATTTTTTGCAGATTTTAGTGGACAGATTCTATTTATTTGCTAAGTTTAAAACATCAATGTGCCATAACATTTGCACAGGCCGCATTTTATGTTCTATTTTTTTCCAATAAGTTACATTCAGCAAATAAACATTAAAATGTGCAGTAGCGTGTTCTCTGTAGAGGACTGTGGACTGGACACCCAAACTTTGGCACAGGACTGTAAGCTGTGTAAATAGCTTCCTTTTTGCCCATTCCACACCCTATTTTTACACATTCAAATATGACACTGTCCTCTCCATTCACTCACGCTGCAGCTTCTTGGCTGGCGTGTCTGTGTGGGTGTGTCTGCGGGGCAGGTACGGTGAGGGGTGGGGCAGCGGGATGGAAGAGAGGTCATGGGTCTGCAGCTTGTACCAGTGAGGCTTATCATCCAGCAGGGCAGTCTCCAGCTCAATCAGGATCTACAGTGGAGTGAAAAATGAAGAGAGGTTAATGGAGAAAGCTACAAGTATAATAAAGCACTACTCAAGCTGAATTAGTTTTACCAGGGGACGTTTTGTAAAATAATCCGATACATAGGGGATAAACTATCTGCTCTTGGCCAGGGAAATGATCTTAAATCTAGTTAGTATATGTAATGACTCATTTTATGACATTGTTGAGTATGTTTAAGGATTATTTAACCTATCTCTAAACATTTTTACTTGACAGTTTCACTAGTAAAGGTATGTACTCCCAATGAAACTATTGGATATAATGTGCTTTCACTTGTCAATATATTATTTTTGCTGTAATTTCCTCAAATTCCTACTGAATGCCTGTATTGAAATGTCATAGGCTGAATTGTTTATGCCTGCGTTATGATAAAGGAGCCACACTGGAAGACAATAATATGTTCTGTTACTATGTTAGTTTGAGGTTCATTCAAAACCAGGACTAGTACTACTGAAGGAATTCAACAAGAGAGTTGTCCATTCCTGAATTATTATTTATCAGACAGGAAAAACAACATTGTAGATTCACAATAGACGTAATCACTTAAAAACAGTATCTACCCAGACAAAAGTAATCCATCTCTAACAGGACTTCATGCTTAATTGCACTATGTAAGACTGTTTTGTTAAAGTTGAAAGAAGTAGCATTACTGAATCAGGAGCTAAAAACACATGAAAATGTGGTGCACATGCACTGCGGCAAGTCACCCTCTAAACCTGACATAGTCATTTTAAATGTCAGAGGTGTCGCATCAGATTTTGATGTAGGTTTTTAAACCACATCACGTCTTTATGTATTAATGCCTCAAGCACCTGCTTAAAGGTCCAGCTCCAGGTCTCAAATGCAAAATCAACAGTATACTGATGAAGATGTGTTGACAACAGTAGATACTTCATTCATAGAAGACATGTTGTTCTCTTTGAACAGTCTTTCAACATGTTTGCAATCTTCCAATTCATCTTACATAATGTAGCTTTAAATGTGATACACAAACAAATGTCTTTCCCATACCTCTCCCAGGAAGTCGCTTTCCTCGTCTTGCACTCTGGGCTGGTCCCACACTGTGATCTCCAGCATGTGCTCCCTGAAATCCCGCCGGTGCACATGGGAGTACACAAACGTCTGGTTCCACTTGGGCTCCAAACTCTTCTTGACCGTCTTCGTTCTCCGCTTGCTTTTATCACTGGCAAAGACACAGAGAATGGACATATATGACCACAAAATCAAAACAAAACGTGGCCATAACCAAAGATCAGACTGAAGTGCAGTTTCCATTCCTGAAGATCAGTATTCGTTCTGTTGAAGTCTGAGCACCTTCTATCAGGAAGAAAGTACATTTTGACGTAAGGGTTTCGGGGTCGTCCATCAAGTCTTGGGGGTAGCTCTTTGGCCTGCAGCACGTTTACTATCAACTGATGGCCCACCTTATCATACCACATTTTCACCTGCAAGACACACAAGCAGAGGTTTCGTACACAGAGAAACGTGAAACCGCATAAAAGCGTGAGAGATGTTAACATGCTGAGTAGTATTGTATCCACCGAGAGCTGTCCAGGCAGGAGCTGGGGTGCGTCTCTCAGACCACTGGGGCTGGAAGGGGACAGGACAGATATAGATGGCCGCTCCATCTTCTGAGACTCGAAGGAGCTTGAACCTGCTGTAGAGGCATAGAGACAACAAAGGCACCACTAAAATCACAACTGACACCATGCTGACCTGAGGGCTAAGCAAACAGCAATTACTCCAAGAGATGGTACTTGAGATAGTACTCACTAGATTCTAATGGAGGGTGTGATGTTTCGGGTATTCTTGGTATATCACTGGAAAGAAAAAATGAATGTATATAAATTCCATTTAAATTCTAACACACACACAGATACACACACATACAGAGCCAGGACGATCTGAACCAAACATTGCAGGGTCGGCTGATAAACACAAGGAGTAACAGTCGGGAGGTAGACGCAGAATAGTGTGCGGCTTCTGTCTTTGAGGGCTGCGCTTTCCATGGGGAAATCGACAGAGGCAAATGGGGAGAGAGTTGGGGGGATGAAAATCATCTCATGGAGTTTGTTTTACTTACTGGTAAGATTTATACACCCTTCGCAAGTGTTTGGAGAGAAATCAATGAATACATCTTTTTAAAGAGGTAGGAGGACAGTGCAAAGGAGAATATAATGGCTAACAGTGAAAACTAAACACAATAGAAACATAAATTACAGCAGAACTCCGCAATGCTGAAGTAGGCTAGACTGAGCAAACACTTGTGCCTTGAGTGCAGACTTCCTCTTGAATAGACTATGACAAATCTCTGTGCTTAAGAGATCCTGCAGGTCATTTGCCACTGAAATAACACTAGCTGCGGTTAAAAGGAACCGATCTGATTAAGAATGGTAGGAAGGTAATGGAAGACTTACCCAATGGGCCTTGAAACAACTAATTCAACTTGGGGTTCCGTCTGGGAATCCAAAATGATATTGTAAACTTCCTTCTTAGTTAATCCAGGTAATGATTTACCATTCCACTGTAGCACCTCATCTCCTAGAGAGAAAAGGAAAGTATATGGAAGGTATGCACCATGTGGGAATTCTGGGCCCATGCCAATATCCGCTATTTGTCATATCTGATGATCCCAATGCTAATACAAATCCACCTGGTTTAGCATTACATAGAAATGTGACATTCAGTTGTAGACTTTTACAAAGCCAGCAAAATGAATAAAATGTAGATATTTTGTTACAGTAGCCCAGGTTCACTTAAACACTGCTGTTCTGGAGATCAATAAAAACATCATAAAATACTGATTTGAAATATTGGAAAAATCTAAACATCTGTTCAATGCCAATATATTTTTAAGCAAATATCTGCCAAAACCAATATGATTGCGATATATTCATGAATTCCTAGTATATAGTAAAATTAAAGAACAAATAGACACATTCCTCCTCTTCAGAGTAAGATACAGCCATGAAACATTATGGGAATCTCTGTGAAAAAGCAATGCACTGAAATAAGGACATTGCTCTAGATATTTTCATTTACCGTTTATTCAATTGTGTGGTTATGTTGCAGATAATCTGACACAAAAGTGACAAAAGTGAAGCAGAACTGAGCTGACCTGCCCGTAAATGGCCCACCACATCCGCCAGGCTTCCCTTTTTAACTTTGGTGATGAAGGCCCCGAGTCTGCCTGTTTCTGTGATCTTTCCCCCTACCACCTACACACACAGCACAAAAAATAATACAGTAAACATAGGGAAAAGACTATAGAGAAAGCTTACAGGAAGAAAGAATAAATTATGTGATTAAAAATGCCAATTTCAAAAATGTTTTAACAAATAAAAACATATTTCCTTCTCCTATAAAGTTTCCATTTCTGAGATACAAGGTTTTCCCACGACGGCTTTGATATGCAGTCGGGCAATATTAAATCATTCTGTTTGTGACAGTACACGGAGAGGACCTGTGTGTGTAAGCATGTGTAACAGTGTGTAATTGGTGTCGGAGCTGTGTGTGTCAACTAACCTTTAGCCCCAGCAGTGCTCCAGCCTCTTTGGGCATGGCCGTGCGCTTGCTCAGAGTGATTCGGCCGATTAAATGATCACCTTCCTTGGAGGGCTGCCATGTAACCGGATGCTGGAGAGAACAAGGCAGTGATTTAATCCCATCAGAGGGGAAACTGTCTCATTACATCTAACTCTCACCTTACATGTGCACACACATCCAGAAAAAAACATTCTTAAACTACACTACCTCTCAAAAGTCTGGAACATCGTATTTTGGTTTATTTATTTTCTATACAATACTAACATTTACAATTTAGATTGAAACTTTCAACAAAAACAGAATTTTTATTATTTAAGATAAGCTAACATTTTATTAATCCCCAAAGTGAAAATAGGGTGTTCCAACACACAGGTACAAATAATAAAATAGAATAAGAAAATGTATACCATGAAATACTATACAACATAAATTATATATATACATATATATAACACATATGTTGTGTGTGTGTGTGTGTGTGTGTGTGTGTGTGTGTGTGTGTGTCTGTTTGTGTGTACGTGTCTGTTTGTGTGTACATACATATATACATAGGCCTACATACTATAGCTATACATACAATCACAGCTGTATAAACTGAATTCAAAGTATTTAAAGTATTTTGGGAGCAATAACAAGTTACTAAATAATTAATTAATAATATACAGCTTACTGGTTCAGACAGTGCCTTCAACGTATGGTGTTAATGAATGAGAAGAAGCTGTAGGAAGGGAGGAAACTTGCCTCTGGTTCTTAGTGGCTTCTGCTTTAAGCTAGAAAACTTGACCTGCACCCCCCCATGTGTTGAACAGAGGTGGGAAAGACAGGACTGATTCAAATGGTGTAGGGTGGTGAGGTGCTATGTCACGGGAAGCAGAAGGTAGAGATGGGAAATTTATGGAAGTAGGCGGAGTTTCAGATAGTTATTTCACAACATCATTGATTATCTATTTACATTCTTCTGTTATTCTGGATGGTAATTTTATTGTAACGTCACTGATGTTATACAGCCTTCTCAATTATTTTCGAATCTTCTCACAGCTCTGTTCATCATTCTGGTCACATCTAAATATTTGAAACCTGTGACATTGTGCAGGATTAACAGTAGAATCATTGAAATTGTACTGTATCCCATTCCTGTACTGTTGTGGTTCTACATTAAAGTTATTTGTTAAAACAGCAATAAAATCTACACCTCCTGACAGTTAATCTAACGTGCAGGAAATACATACATGCCATACAGTGGGGTCCAGAGGATAGCACTCCCAGTCCCCTGAAAAACAGAGGAAGAGAAGCAGAGTGAGCTCAAGTGAGGCTTCAGAGTGTTCAGAGCAGCACAAACATGCAGCCTCCCTGCCTGACGTGCTGCTGCTTTATGCTAGCCAGAACACACACTCTCCAAACCTGCTGTTTACACTCACAGCACTCCGTTTAATGAACATTTGGGCTCCGGAGGGGCACAGTCTGCCAAGCTGTCACCCTAAAGCACGGCCCACTCATTTCGCCCTACAGGACGAGGGCGCGAATGGGGATTAATGGGGCTTCTGTGCTGCTGAACTTGTGTTTGCACAGCTCTTAAGAGCTTCATTTAGTCTCTTGACAGAGGAAGCTTGATGACATACAATGGCACACACTCACACACACAGTGGCAGTGTCAGAGCTTTCCATGACGTTGGCCTCATATTTACTCTTGGCATGTTTTATGGAGGGGCACCATGTGCGCATGTGTGCCCCTCGACTGACCGTTTTCTGCTTTTTTCTGAGCACATGGGACATCTCAAGTGCCAAAGGCGATCAGGAGAGATGGGTATGACGCACAGTAGTGGAGCGATGAGCTCATGATTTAGTCTCTCTCTGGAACCTTGTTTACAAACTCTCTGAATCATTCAGAAATGACTAATGACAAATTTAAGAGTTAATCACTATCAAATGACAAAAAGACAGGAGTTCTGATACAGACACATATCACTCATTGTACAACCATGCACGCTGACATACTCAGCAACTGTTAATGGTAAGGTCCATCTGTATAGATTTCATTCATATTTTCTTAAGCTCCTCTAAGGCCATTATGTAGTTGATGCTGACACAGGTCTCATGCAGAGCTAAAAAAGGAACGTGTGCATAGATGACTCTGGCTTGTTTGAAACAAGCTTTGATTAACCACTCACCACTCTTATTCCCTTTTTCTTCCAGCACGACTACGTAACTCAGTTTGAATTACTGACTGGCCGAGGAGTTTAGCTGATGTGTAGTGAAACACATCAGTGAAAAAAAAGAAGAAAAGCTCTAGAGGGAGGTAAGACCTATGTGGGTTATGATGTGGGTTACAAACAAGAAGCTTAAAACTATACTGAATGCAATGCATCTCTCCTTAAAGAGACTGTTCTTCACTATGTAACCCAGTTTTGTTCCTAAAAGTGTTGCCCTAAAAAAGTTTCTATAAAATTAAACACACATATACACACACACACACACACACACACACACACACACACACACACACAAAGGCCATTTGTAGATTATCCTTACACCAACAGACAACCCACAACAGAAAAGTGGTCAATCATGATGTCATCGGTGTGAGACCGCTATAATGCAGATAAACATGTTGTTTCTCAGAAAAACATGTCTTAAAAATTAGCAACTGTAGCAGCACATCAAAGTTTATTATCACAGCTGTTTTGTGTCATACTCTCATGACCCTGATGACCTTTCAATCTACACATCTGCCAGAAGGCATCACAAGGTGAAGATTTACAACCAATACTTTGATATCAAAAGTATTGAATGCACAGCTGTCCAAGAAGTGTTTGCATGCTTCAAAAATGCACCTACTATGTGCAAACATATAAAAATCCACATTTTACTTTAAAACAATGAAAATACACTGAAAAAAATCGTTCAAAATCATTCTTCCGTTTTTTTTTTATACTACTGATACTATCAGTTTAACTTTATACAGTACTTTGAGTCACAATAAACTGCTCAAAATATTAATGCCAAAAACGAATATGTAATAACTAATATAAACTGATACGTTATTGGCCGAAAGGAATCAGTACATATATTTTATATCAATGTAAAACAAGGCCAAGCCAAATCAATTCACAAGCTAATGAAAGCCTCTAGCATCAGTGGTACACTGCTCATATCCTGTGTGTGGAGCTATCAGGCCTCTTACCTGCAGTGTAAATGAAAGCTCTCAGTCTGATTAAGTCCTGCTACAAGGATAAGAATGAGTTGGTGCACTGCTCATTCTCTTTTCTCTCTCTCTCTCTCTCTCTCTCCTCTCTCTCTCTCTCTCTCTCTCTCTCTCTCTCTGCTGTTTACATTTCATCTCCAGCTTGTGTTAATACACTGACCTTTTAAGTCTGTGTTCAACCACTTTGTCCGCCAAACAGCATGCAACCATGAGCACAACGTCTCCTACCCTACACCCGTTATTGGTTTAGCTCACTGGTCCAAACACACACACACACATACACACACACACACACACACGATTCACTACACACCATTTTTTCGATCAAAAATATATGTCTTTGTCAGAAATCATTAATAAGTACAATCTTATATACATTCTTCCGAGCCTCAAAGAACCTAATTTGTCACTGAGGCATATCTAAAAAGAATCCTCAATCAATCACCAGCTGAAACAGTTCAGTTGACTGTTTGCAAAATCTTGACTGATACACCTCTCAACCAATTACAATAGTCCTTAAATATTACTCCTTCCATCAAGCAAAGGAACACCTCAGACAGAACAAACCTGCAGTGAGAACGGCACTGGCAGCAAAATGGTGGAAAGGTGTTACTGAGGAATGCATATATATGATAATGATATATGGGGAAAATCACACTTACAGCTCAGTGTCAACTATCAACAGACAGATTTATGCTGCTCTAAACTTTACCCAGATGGGTAACTTTATCTGTTTTTGATAAAAATCATTTAATTTGATATCTAAAGATATATAATGTTGCAGAACAATGTTAAGATCTTTTCTTAGCTGGTGACAGTTTTTTAGTCTGTTAGTACAAGTGCTATGAATGCTGCTAGACAGCCTGAGCTAATAGCTTGAAAGATATAGGAACAAAAAGTAAAGGACTGTCAGGACTTTGCAAATGGGCAATTTTACCTTCATAGAACTCCTTTTCTAGGTCAGGACTATGTTCCAGATAAGCCAGTCTATGTTCATGCATTCTAATTGACTCACAGAAACCCTTAAAATCAAAAATTATAATTCATTTATAAATATTAAGGTTTGTTATCCTGTAGCTACGATGAATTATTCAGTAGACACTATAAAGGTAATCTGTATGTAGTTATGAGTACTACACATGTATTGGGAAATGCTCAGTGTGTCCCACCTCTTTCGCTCACGCTCTCAATATCCACGTCTTCGCAGCTGGTGTACTCGGGCGTGGAGCCACCCTCCTCTTCTGAGCTGCTGACAGACATTTGCCTCTTGTTACTGCCGCGCTTGGTCTTGTAAGGGCGGGGCGGAGGCGGTCGCAAGGACTCGGACTGGTCGGAGCTGAGCGAGTCATTGCGTAGCATGCTTTCAGCCTTTTCCCGCTTGGTCTTGCGCAGCATGGCGGCCGAGCCGGGCTCCAGGTGGCTCGGCTGCAGCTTCCTGCCCCATTCTGGAGGCTCCCTGAGCTCAGGGGGGCCGGCGGGCACAGCAGGGCCCACTCGGAACCCTGGTGCCGGCGGCTGGGGTGATGGGGTGTGGTTCGTTTTAGAAGGAAGAGGTTGCATGGCAGGTCCTCCCTGCCCCCCAGTGCCCCCCACGGTCCTCTCCCCAGAATAAGGTTGCTGCTGGCCCTCCAGAGAGGCCTGCCGCTCCTCTGACCACCTGCGGCCCACTCTACCCTCCTTTCCAACCTCTCCAGCGTCCCTGTCAGCTATGCCCCCCTCAGGATGTCTGATTCGGGGTGCCTTCGGGTGTGGATGGCCCTCTTGCTCCCCAGACTGGGGCTTGGCCTGGTGTCGTGTGGAGCCAGGCTCACCTCGGTACTCCTCTAAAGGTGGCCTGTGCCCACCCTCTGTCCTTCTGGGTTCCCCTAAACCTCCCCTCTCCAGCTCAGCATCGCTTCGCTCCTGGGATCGAGTCTTGAGCAGCCGTCGGCTCTCCCTGCGACTGTCTCCCACTTCCCGCTCCTCTGAAGCCTGGGACTGGAGTTTGGGTAGCCCCCGACGCCTCTCACCTCTCTGCCCGGCCTTGCCATTCTGATCTGAGGTTGACGACTGCTTTTTCCTGAAAATGACGAAAGCAAGGATCAGAGGACCCTAGATGGATTGCTATTTAAGGTCAAAAGGATTTATCACATTCTCATTTTAAATAAATTGTTTAATCTATGTTGCTGCTGTCGAACAACAAAACATTGTGTCTCTAAAATGGTAAATTTCCAGGAGATGGAAAAAATATTGAATGGAAGTTAATGGAACAGACAACGTCACACAATGTTAAAGGCAGCTGGTCTCTAGAAATGGAGATACAAGGTTTTGTTCTGATAGCAACGATATGTAAAATTTAGAACTACATACAGCAAGGTATTGCTTAACACAAGCATGTCTGCACATGGGAAAAGGCAATAAATAAACTGTAATAAGTAAACTGTGCCATGGAATCATATTTCTTATAATTACCAATAACATAATTGACTACATCCACTGTATGACTATTTTCCTGCATAGAAGCAAGACACCTGTTCCACCTGTTCCAGTAGACTTCACTCACTCATTAAGCTAAGCTAAACTAAGCGTCTTCACATTGCATACAAAATTCTCTGTCTAATAGCAAGAACAAAAAAGAGTTTAATTGAAAAGATGAACATTTCTTTTAAGTGTCAAGTAAGAAGTTTGTAAGAAAAGTCTATTTGCTGAAATTACAAAAAAATATTATTGATGTACAGTGATATAGAAATTATATTGGTATTGACAGATATTTGTTTTAAAAATCAACAGTTGTTTAAATTTGACAGATATTGCAAACTAATAATTGACAATATATTTATTGTTCTCTACAAGAGCAGAATATTTATTTTATTTATTCATTTTTATGCATTTGTAACGCTAAGGAAATCAGTGTTATATTTCTCTGTTATGCTAATGCAGGTGGATTTAGTCTGAATTTCTACATTTCATAAATGTTTATGTATTAGCATGGACAAATATGTACACATAAAATATCAGATATCAGCATTGGCCCACAGTTCCCGTATCTGTGCCTCCCTCAATAGATATGGTAAAAAATAACCATAAACCATGTACAAAAATTGATTTACAATAGAATTCTTAAAAAACACAAACAAACAACGTGAAGTGGCTTTCTTAATTAAGGCACTACAATAGGGAGGGAGGATGAGTACCTGTCTCGTGGTGGTTCACTGCGGGAACGGGATGAAGGCAAGTCGGCCTGTCCAGCAACAGGGCCTTTGCTGGGGTTAGTGGAGGCAGGCAGCTGGCTGTCATGGGCAGTAGAGGCAGAGGAATCGAGGTGGATCTGAGACTTAGGGCGCACTTTCTTTTCTACTGTGGGGTCTGCACACATGGCTGGGTCACTTACTGCCGTTCCAAGCCCTGGCTTCGGCTTTGGCCCCTGTCCCGGAAACCATTCCCCTGATTTAGTGAGGATGTCCTGCTGCTTACGGCACTGGTTACATACCCACATTACCTGCAAAATGGAGAGCGCTTTAAGGATGGTGAGCTTAGAATACATTCCACCTTACCTTGATTTAGGGGTGACAGCATTGCCTAGACATACAGCACCACCATTATGGAGTAGCCCACCCATTTTTGTGACGAGTGACTGTGTTTCAAACACAAATAAATCATTTTCTTCTAATGCAAATTAGAACAGAAATGTGATGAGATGGGATTTACAGCTGACAGGAAGACCCCATTCTGTCACACATGATTTGCGCAACCAATTAAACACTGCTCAGTTCAAAAGTGCGTTTGCACCACACCTCGACATCTGCACTGTAAACATCTGTAAATAAAAAGTAAATATGTGCAGTTCCCGCAAACCTAAACATGAAACCATGTTAAATAGCAATACATATCCTGAGTATGTATAGATAGTATTCGCTTGACATCACACTTGTCGCCACCGCCATATTGTTGACATACAACCGGTGATGACAGTGGCGACAGCAGCACTCGTAAAGCCACCATTTGTACACCGTTAGCTAGTTAATAAAGCATCCTGACAGATGAAATATAGCCATGGTGTTCTGCATGGTTCATAGCTGTACTAACAGCAGCAAAAAATGGTGTAAGCTTTTATAGCATCCCAGCTGCCTGACGTCATGAGGGAATAGAGGCTGAAGGAGAAATCTTTGGCAATGGCGGTTCACTTGAATGCAAATATAGGCAGTGTCTGGGACTGGGCCTGTGTCTGTGCCTATTCATACAGCATTCTGAGGCAGGAGGGCGGACAGTCATGTCCGAACCTAATGTTTCTATAAAACGCTGCCTGCTGTGGTCCCTATTTTCGGACGTTTTTGAAGGTAGTGTAGACGTATCCTTTGCCACATTATATATCCCATAATCCTGGTTGTCCACACCGATGCGGTAAAAAAAAATTGCAGAAAACACCAGAACTGATACAGTGAACAATGCTGCCTGCTAAGGCACAGGCAGCAAAGCATTGAGACAGCTGCCTTTAGTTTCGGACAGAGCCAAAGTCACCAGCAATCCGTGTGTGCTGTACATCAGTGGGGGCGGGACTAGTTTCCATAGCAACAGGGAACCAATGAGGGCGGTGCGATGCGCAAAGTGGACACAACTCTCTTGTGTGTCAGAGAGCAGAGAAAACCACTAAACACATGACAAACTAACCAGAACTGGAAAGTGAAAAGGTAATTAACAAACTTGGTCAGTAAACTAAACAAAATCAATAACTAATGCAATGTTAATAAACACATATTATGCTGCTAAATTAACGCAGTTCTGTCTTACTTATGAGCTAAATGGTAGGCTAAAAACAGCCTATCCTACCTATTGTTGCTTCGGTGTAGAATAAGACACACAAAACATTGCGCTTTAAAGGAGAATGCTCTTTTATTGAACAGGCAGCAAAAAAGAACCGCTGCTCAGCGCTAGCAGACATAGCCCAGCAGGTAGGTCTCTTCTAACCACACAACTCTTCTTCATGATACAAACTTATCCACAACCCAGCACGGAATAACACATGCATCACACAGACACTTCACTGAGTTAACAACAGCACCTTATTTACAAAGAAAGTCTCTTCTACTGCAGGCACAGTGCCTCCCAAGAGCCTCTGCGTGTGGATGCTCTGCATGGCCACACCTCCCGTGCTCCCAACGCATGCCAGTAGCGGGATGCTACAATAATTTCATTGTGCCTATCAAGAGCAGCCAGGTGAAGAATTTGACAGTGCTACACCTGGAAGCAGTGCCAGGGCCGCTGTTTTGGGTGGGCACGACAAATTTGAGGGTGGGCCAAATGCTCTTGTGGACAAACCTTCACTGTCTCTCGTGCAGCTTCACCCTTGCAGACAAACGTTCACCATCTTCTCACCGGATTCAGTCTCTCTCGCACAAGGACCCTCAGCTTCTTTCGCAAATTAAACGTTCATTCCCTCTCGCGTTTCCCTGCATGTCGTTTGTCATATTAGGTACTCCATAGATTAGTGTTTGCTAAGCATCATTCAAACACGACAGTGTTTGTTTATCTCTTTTTAACTGGTCTATATTCGATATTCTCTGTAACTGGACTGTATTTTGCCCTTTTTAGAGTGGGCTGACCAGTTCAGTAGAGAGCTAACAACAAGTGATCAATCCTGAAAAAAGCTTTCAGTCTGTGCTCCTGTAAGATTAAATGGCTATGTTAAGCAAAAATCAAATTGTAGTTGTATGAAATATTGAATTTGAATTGAATTGAAATAAATTATGTATTCAAATATTTTAAATGATTGGTTCTACATTAAATGAATGTAGTGTTGATGTGGAAACAGATCTAAGATACAACTGTTTTTAGTAATATTTGAGATGGAATTTCTGTGGCTGTGCATGTAGATATTTAAAAATAGCTATATTTATAAAAAGAATCAAATGATGTGGACCAACCCCCGCCCCCAACCCAATACCATCCAACCCATGACAGCTACCCCCAACTCCCAAGGCCTCTGACCTCCAATGCTGTAGATAACTTACATGACTAAATTAGGATGGCAGCAAACATTATACAGTTGCCACAATATTATTAACATATATCACAGTGGTGAAAAAGTAGCTAGGTACCTTCTCACAAAAATGATGTGTTTTTTTTTCTTTCTTTTTTTTTTTTAATGCTGCTGTTAACCTCAGCATTAATTAATACATATTTGGAAATGCAGGGAAATTACTGATGTACAGAATAAAAAAAACAAGAAATTCTGTTTGAATATGTGAAGATAAACTATAAATAGACATATGTTATCCAGCATCCAGACACCCCTTCTAATTAGTGAATTCAGCTATTTTAAGGTGCACACATTACTGACATAATCATTGTATTCATCCTGGATTTTTCTGGATTGTCCTGGATTTTGGTTGTCTATCCAGTCAATTTCATATCTTAGTATTTTTATGAAGTTTAAACTATTCCTTTTTAACCAATGAAACCATTTGTATAAAACCAATGGGTTTGACTGGTTCAGAATACCCTCGATGATTCTGTTTCAGAAAGGTGCACTGCTGGTGGCATGTTTATGTACTAGACAGCACTGCAGCGTGATATCTGAGAAGATTAGGCAGGGGAACTGACATCTCTCTACATTAGATTGTCCAGGAATTTTACAAGGCTGAGGTGGCAACCCTAATTGCTAAATGTGGCACTCTGTAGCAGCTGCATGAGGCTAAGGTCCCCATCCTAAAGCCAAGTGTTGGCGCAAGGGGTGTAAGCCCCCCACCATTGGGCTGTTGCAGCAGCAGTGTTCTCTGGAGTGACTGAACACCAGTTGGATTGGCAGAACTAACCATCCAAAATCAGTACCTGACCTCACTAATGCTCTTGTGGCTGAACAGAATCAAACCCTCACAGCAGTGTTTCCAAAATCTACTGTTAAACCTTCCCAGAAGAGTAAAGGCTGTCACTGCAGATTTCAGATGAATTGTTGTATGAGCAGGTGTGCAGGTGTCTATGAACCTTTGAACACAGAGTGTACTACATCTATGGGAGAAATACTATTGTAACCGTTTAAGTTTGTTAACTGAACATTTTGTAGAGAAATACATTTACAACAATATGAAGAAAAATCTAAGAAATTAAAGTTACTGGATTTAATGTGGGTAACGTTCAAGAAGACATACAGAGTCATCAGGCCTGTGGGACGGAATCATATGGCCGTAAAACGTAAGCATTGACCATGTCCTCTGTGGGGATATCTGCAGGAGCCATGAAGAGAGTCATGGCAGGCCAGCTCCTGTTTTCATAGGCATTAGTAGTGCTATCCATCACCCTCCCCCATATCCTCACTCAGTCCCTGCTGATTCCTTCAGGAGGAGACTGATGGAAAGAGAACACAAAAAGACCTTGGCAGATTCCATATTTTCCCTCTTTTTTTTCCACTCTTCTCCTCCTCCAGATTGCTTTTGATTAAAGTGTTGGCGAGGGGGGGTGAGGGGGGCATAAACACGGCTATATTTATCCAGGCATCCACCCAGCCAGCACCATCAGGAAGCCGCAAACAATTCCCCAGCTCACCGCATAGCTTTGGTGGGTAAAGACGTCCTTTGGCCTCATGATTACAATGCCAAAGCAACACACACACATACTCAGAGGGACACACATTTCCACATACATAAACACACCGGCCTTCTGCTGCTCATGTCTGTGCCAGCCAAACACACTCTGTGGTTCTAGCAGGATAACAGAGTGTTCACATATGCCACCTGCTACCAAAACTCTTGTCCTAGTTTTTCCTATACCACCCACCGTCTGACATCACAACTTAACAATCCATCCGTCTCCTACAGCATAGGCTGCACAACTGTCAGTGTAGTTTAACATTAGATCAAATAAAGAATTAGTAATAAGAGGAAGTATTATAATAATGCTAAAATAGATTATAGACCTCCACGATTTAGTCATTGCCAGTTCCCACCCACAGGCTAAGACTCTCCCGTCACACAGCATCCTCGGGAGGCGGGGCTGAGGGCTCCCTCCACTCTGACCATGGAGTTATAGAATTAATGATGTATCATTTTTTTTAATTCGTGTAGTTAATTTTTATGCTATATATATATATATATATATATATATATATATATATATATATATATATACACACACACACATGTAACAGGAAACAGTGCTCTTTGCTCTGAGTTAATTGACCTTTCCATGCTTTTTGGACACAGAAATTTAAGCAACTTTGTGGCTCCTGAGTGGTGCAACAGTCAAACCGCCACAGAGGAGAAACCCTCACCAACCCCAGGCTGAGGACACTATGTGATTGGGTGGGATTAGCAGTGACTAAACTGGGAGGAGGGAGAAAGTAAAATCAAGCAAAATCATTAAGCAGTTTAATTTAGTAAAGCAATGGTTCTATGTAGAAGCACGAAACACTCAAAGAACCACTTGCATGTTTAAAGGGTCCTTTGCGTGGTAAAATCTTCAGAATTCTTTAGATTGAAAGAGAAAGGGTTGTGTATGGTTCTATGC